TTTTTAGACGCTGACACCACGCCCCCTTTTTTCAGATTTTAGGGGTTGGGGACCCGCAAAAATTTAGAGAAGCACCCCAAAAATTCTTTCGGACGTGGCTAACGCAACGCACCTTCATTTGAAAAAAATTTTTGCGCTCCCCCCTCGGTCCGAAATCCTGCGACCGCTACTGGCGGCAAGATATTTCGGTACTTTTCCGCTATCTGGACCCATTTTTTCAAAGAAGAGTATTGCTTCCATCCTTGTACCATATTTGGTCTCAGCTTTACAGGGAGGAGTGCCAACTTTCTGCCACGTGTCAAAAAAATTTAAAATGTCATTTACATGCTTAACAGGTTTTACTAAGAGTTTTCGTTCAATCTGTTTTGTAGTCAATTTTAACCTCATTTCGATCAAGCATTTCAAAGTGAACATTGTCATAATAATAACGACATACTCTTATCGATGAACAGACTAGACTTGCTCGGAATAGAGAAGTGCGTGAGATGAAATCATTTAAGAGGCAAAATAAGCGGCAGCAAGGGACTTCAAGCTTCATTTATAGTCTTTTTTGGCTAAAATCGCATGGCCAAAAGGGTTTGAAGAGAAAAGCATTATTAAATCACCACTGAAAGCAAGCAAGATGATCTAAAATAAATTCATGATTGTTTTGCTTTTATGTAAAACAACTAAACAGCTCAAAAGTGACTACAATCTCTTTTACCTCCCCGGAAATGGTTTCGAAAAAAAAGCATGTCAGAATGAACCGAAAAGCGTCAATTTTTTTGTGACACGTGGCAAGGAGGCAGTCCTCGTAGAAACTATAAAAAATTATTCTTAGACTAAAGAAAGTATCACATGAGAGCCTTTCGAAGAAATGGGTTCGGATAACGAAAAAGTACCGATATTTTCGCTAAGAATTTCTACGAGTCAATATCTAATTATACAGAAATTTCCTTAAATTCACTTCTGTCCCTTCCACTCTGCAAAAACCATACTTCTGCCTCTGAAAGAAGAAAAGTGGTCTCTGGGGAAGGACAGACCCATGAGCTTCATCCCGCACGGCATTTTCACTGAAACTTTTGGCTCTCAAACTGCAAAAACCACAAAACTCAAAAACCACATATCTGGCCCTAAAAGCAGAAAGACAGGGAGCCTGGTCTCGATGGAAGAAAGAATTATGGCCTCAGGCAGCAGGAGACTTTCGCCAGAAGTTTCTGGGTGTCAATGATTATACAGAACTTGCTTGAAATTTACTTCTGGCCCTTTTGGTTTCGAGGAGAAAACACTAATAAGCTCAGCCAGCAAGATACTCGCTGAAACTTTCTGGGTGTCAATGTTTATTCATACTGAAACTTGCTTCAAAAATTTACTTCTGGCCCTTCTACTTTGCAAAAAAAAACCATACTTCTGCCTCTAAAAGTAAAAAATCACAAAGTGCTCTCGAGGGAAGGACAGACCCATGAGCTTCATCCGACAGGACAGTCTCGCTAAGACGTTTGACCCCCTAGACTTCGCAAAAACCAGTACTTCTGCCCCCAAACGCAGAAAAGCACAGAAAATCCAGTCTCGGGGGAAGAAAGAATCATGGCTTCAGGCAACAAGGTATCTTCGCCAGAAGTTTATGGGTGTCAATAATCATACAGAAACTTGCTTAAAATTTACTTCTGGCCATTCTACTTTGCAAAAACCACACTTCTTCCTCTAAAAGCAAAACAGTACAGAAAGCTTGGTCTCAAGAAAATGGCTGAACCATAAGGCTTCATGCGACAAACAATTTCGCTAAGGCGTCTGACCTCCTAGACTTCGCAAAAACCAGTGCTTCTGCCCCTAAAAGCAGAAAAGCACAGGGTATTTAGTCTCTAAGGAAGGACAGACCCATGAGCTTCTTGCAACAGGACATTTTCACAGAAACTTTCGGCCCCTTCTACTTCGCAAAAACCAGTACTTCTGCCCTGAAAGCAGAAAAGCACAGGGATTTAGTCTCTAGGGAAGGACAGACCCATGAGTTTCATCCGACAGGACATTTTCTAAGACTTTTGACTCCCAAACTTCGCAAAAAACCATAAAACTCAAAAACCACACTTCTGGCCCAAAAAGCAAAAAAGCACAAGGAGCTTGGTCTCGAGGGAAGTAAGGATTATGGCCTCAGGCAACAAGATGTTTTCGCCAGAAGTTTCTGGTTGTCGATGTTTCATTATACAGAAATTTGTTTGAAATTCGTGGCCATTCTACTCTGCAAAATCCATACTTCTACCCCTAAAAGCAAAACAGCACAGATAGCTTGGTTTCGAGGAAAAGAGACTCATAAGCTCAGCCAGCAAGATAATTTCGCTGAAAACTTCTGGGTGTGAATGTGTATTCTACAGAAACTTGTTTAAAATTCACTTGTGGCCACTCCACTCTGCAAAAACCAGACTTCTGCCTCTGAAAACAGAAGAGTGGTCTCAAGGGAAAGACAGACCGGGAGACGGTCAAGAGGCGCGATTTTTCTGGCTGTCACCAACTTAAAACTTCAGTTTCTCGCTATGGGAGTGTTCAAAAAGTGTCGGACAAAGTCCATCGGCTTACTAGCTGTTTGAAGTAACCATTTGATAAGTTCGACGACTTTTGCTAGAAAACTGACCGAAATAGTTACAAAATTGCTATAAACTGCATTTTCATGGGTTTTTGAGCTTCAACAATTTTGCTTTGAATCGCTTTTAAAATGATAAAATCGAAGAATTCCTGCAATTCTCTAATGTACTTCTTTTGAAATTTCAAATAATCCTGGAACTTCATAAAACACTAAGTATGTGTTATATACTGCCCATCTGGTAATAAGAATCGCGCCTCTTGACATACATCCAGAGAGACCCATGAGCTTCTTGCGACAGGAAATCATCTTTGCTGAAAATTCTGGCCTTCTGAACTTTGCAAAAGCCACACTTTTGTCCCTAGAAGCAAAAAACAGGGAGCTTGGTCTCGAGGGAAGAAAAGACTCAGGGCTCAGGCAGCAAGACATTTGCGCTAAAAGTTTTTAGGTGTCAATATTTGATTATACAGAAACTTGCTGGAAAAATTACCCTTCTTCTCAACCGTACTTCTGCTAAAAGTAGAAGCATAAGGAGCTTGGTTTCGAGGGGAGGAAAGAACTAGGGTTTTATACGACAGGACAGTTTCGGTAAGATTGCCCTTCAAAAGAAGGCGCTGGGCTAGCTTCTTTTCAAGAAATGAGCCCGTTCACTGGCAAGACATCATCGAAGAAAATGCTGCTTCGTTTCTACCGACATATCTGAGTTTTTGGCTGCTGGAAGACATAAATTGACGCTTCCTTTAACATGGCACTTTCCTGGAAATCAATCTGAGTTTTGGGATGAATCAGCTGCTCTCAGGTGCTTCGAGGTAGCTTCCTTGTTTAAGAGCTGTTGTATCTGGGCTAAGGTGTGTGCAAGAAAACAGCAAAGATGCTCTGCGCATAGTCAGTGGTAGTAGCTTCTTTTCCTAAGAGCATAGTGTTTTGTTTCTACTACTCACAACATGCGAAAGGTCGCTGGGAAGATGAAAATTCTCTTTCTTGGGATTTTAGTTAATTAATGGCAGATATCAATGTATCTGCCCCCACCCACATACTAGCGACCCGTAGGGTCGCTAGTCTTATATATAAAGCTGAATGTCTGTTTGTCTGTCTGTCTGTCTGTCTGTATGTCTGTCTGTCTGTATGTCTGTACGTATGTTCCGAATAGAAAATTCCATTTCTGAACCGATCCGGACCAAACTTGGCACACATACACTTCGGGCCCCGGCGCGTGTCATAGGCTACTTTTCGTCATCGATCGATATCGATTTTATCGATTTTTATCGATTTTTTTGCTGAGTTCACCTACGGGGCTGGGAGTTGGCACAGGGGGGTAATCGAGCATGGGGATTCCGAATACAATATTGGTTTTCAGGATTATCAATTACTTTTATCGATTTTATCGATTTTTTTGCAAAGTTTGAGCTACGGGGCTGGGAGTTGGCACAGGGGGGTAATCGAGCATGGGGATTCCGAATACAATATTGGTTTTCAGGATTATCGATTACTTTTATCGATTTTATCGATTTTTTTGCAAAGTTTGAGCTACGGGGCTGGGAGTTCGCACAGGGGGGTAATCGAGCATGGGGATTCCGAATACAATATTGGTTTTCGGGATTATCGATTACTTTTATCGATTTTATCGATTTTTTTGCAAAGTTTGAGCTAGGGGGCTGGGAGTTGGCACAGGGGGGTAATCGAGCATGCTGATCATCCCCAAGGGGGTGATCAGCATGCTCGATTACACCCCTGTGCCAAATTCCATCCCCCTAGCTCAAATTTTGCAAAATCGATAAAATCGATAGAAGTAATGGATAATTCCAAAAACTAATATTGTATTCGTAATCTGCATGCTCGATTACCCCCCTGTGCAAACTCCCAGCCCCGCAGGTCAAACTTTACAAAAAAATCGATAAAATCGATAAAAGTAATGGACGATCCTGAAAACTAATATTGTGTTCGTAATCAGCATGGTCGATTACCCCCTGTGCAAAATCCCAGCCTCGCATGTCAAAATTTACAAAAAATCGATAAAATCAATAAAAGTAACCGATAATTCTGAAAACTAATATTGTATTCGGAATCCCCATGCTCACTTCCCCTCTGTGCCAACTCCTAGCCCTGTAGGTGAACTCTGCGAAAAAATCGATAAAAATCGGTAAAATCGACATCGATCGATAACGAAAAGTGGACTGTGACACGCGCCGGGGCCCGAAGTGTATGTGTGCCAAGTTTGGTCCGGATACGGCGGAGCCGGGTAAGCCAGCTAGTTTTTTTATATTTATGACGATTTTTACTTTACCTACGCAAAAATGTACCTTGTTATACTTCTAGCTTGCGCATGACAGAATAACGCAATCTCAGCAGCTTGTCTATAAGACAAAATGAAAAAACGAGACTCATGTAGGACGTGTTCTACAGCCACCTTCGCACTGTATGTATTCTAGTTTAAAATCTTGGGAGAATGCCATTTGAGGCACCGGTGGGTTTCTAGAAAGGAAAGAATCACAGTCAAAAACTGACTGAACGTTGAATGCAAGACTTTGATTAGTCGGTGCCTCTATGAATTCAAATTGTTTATGATCGAATCCATGTTAAAGTCTACACAATAATTCGGTACAAGGACGCGGGATTGCGATTTTGGGTGACACCTCTCTCATGCACTCTCGCCACTTTTTTCTCTGGGCTCTCTTCCATTTATAAACTATTTTTGATTTCCGCAGCAACAACGCATTCTGCCGCGTGACCCGAATGACTTCAGCTGAATGCGTAAGCCGGGGCCGTCATCAGTGCTAGGCACCATTGTCTAACAAGTCCAAGCTGCAGCTCCAAGCATGCTTCTTCCTGTAATTCCAAGTGGTGAATGTCCAGAATAAAAAACCAGCACCTTCTCCTAATCACACGAGTAAAATTCGGAGCCTCAATCAGAGGATATACGATAGGCTTTGTTCCCTCATGAGGGCAACACGCTACAGTTTTGGCCTGAAAATATTGACACAAATGCGTGAGCGGTCGCGGCTGCTTGCGGCGCGTTTTTTGTCTGTGTACTACAGTTTGTGGATTGAGACCTAGGACGTTACTTGAAAGCTTTACCACCCACAGAGCGCTTGTGCGCAGTCCTCTAAGATTACTCGACAAAAGAAACATCGTCGGATTTCGCAGTAGGTTATGAGAAGAATGTCGCGTCTTTGTGTTCCACCGTGGCGGAAGGGAAACACTGATAGATAAGAAGGGAAGGGGACTACCTATATTTCGCTGATAAGCTTCACCCGGCGCGGACAGCTGATACAAATCCGTAATGTCTGTAAAAGGCCTCGGGCAGAGTTCACGCGATTTCAACACCGCGATTCTTCTAACAAGACAAATTACAGTCCATTGCATTCCGATCATCTTGCATTTCGGTTGTGAAAGTTTAGTCGCATTCGGTCGTGTTGGTCAAATATCACAAGATGTTCGGCTGTTTTGGTGGAAGAATCGCAGCGATGGAATCGCGCGGACTCAGCCCGAGGCCAAACGCATGGCTGCGTGGTTTGTTGCAGATGTCCGCGCGGACCACCTCCTCTCATATATAGGGGTGGAGGACATTAGGTCGCCGAAAAAGGGCGGTCCCCGCGGTCATTTGCGACAAATGCGCACCCTTGTACATGCGTGGACATGCGTTCCTGCAGGGAATCCGCGCGGGACTCTTCCAAATTCGGCGACCTAATGTCCTCCACCCTATATAGGGGTGGAGGACATTAGGTCGCCGAAAAAGGGCGGTCCCCGCGGTCATTTGCGACAAATGCGCACCCTTGTACATGCGTGGACATGCGTTCCTGCAGGGAATCCGCGCGGGACTCTTCCAAATTCGGCGACCTAATGTCCTCCACCCATAAATAGTACTCTGAGGCACCGCCTTCGCGCATATGTTTCATTCGCGGGGGCTATTGCATATCATGTAGATACCAGTAGTCAGCGGAGGAGGCGCCTAATTGAGGTATTCGTCCTTCTAAGCAAAACCAATGGTACTGTTCCATATACTTGGGACCGAATCGAATGATTATTCGATTATTCGAATAAATCATTCGAATGCGAATCATTCGTAAAGTCGAATATTCGAAAATCTGAGATTTCGAATAAAATTCGAAAGTCGAATATTCGAAATTTTCAGTTTTCGAATATATGCGATATTCGAATAATCGAAAATTTCAACCTTCGAATATTATTCGAAAGTCGAATATTCGAAAATTTCAGTTTTTGAATATTATTCGAAAGTCGAATATTCGATGGTCATCAGTTCGATCATTCGATGGTCATCGAATATTCGAATCATTCGATGAACATCGAATATTCGATAATTTGAATGATGATACCAGAGCCCGGCGCAGATTGTATGGAAGCAAGCTGGATTTGGTTTTTGGGGCGGAAAAGAAAAAGGATATTAAGCTTGTGGCCAAAAATTGCGACTTTTTTCAGTCGGCGTTTCGTCTTTTGAGAGTTTTTTACGTTTACGGCTGACAGTCAAAGGTGACTTCGTTTTTGAGAAGCCTAGAAACGATTTCATGCTGGATGGATGGTAAGCCTAGCACGTCACTGTAGGACTTTTTATCAAGCTGCAACTCTCAATGGGGAGTGTATAGGCGCCGTAAGACCTAACTGCCCGCGTCGTGCCTTGAACACCAGCGTAAGCGAGCGGTCGTCGCGAACGAATGTCGGCGTTCACTTTATTCCAAGAAATCTTTCTTTAACTTTCATGTTGTTCTCGTCAATGCAGGGTATATTGACGAAAGCTCTTTTCAAAAGTTTATATGTGCGGAAAGGGTGCGCGCTCACTGTTGCTTGCGATAGGCCTGTAGCGCTTCGGGACCAAACGTTCTCAGCCGCGTCGCACGTTGGTGTTCAAAGCGATGCGTGGGCGATTGGATTTTACGGGGCCTGTATATTCTTTGTGGTTCCCGGCGCAGTAGTCTGTACAGTAATCGTGATGCGCCATTTCTGTTGCAGATGTAGCTGCTATCGATTTTTCGCTATCCAGGGGCGCCAGATTTTGATGTTCTACACAGCGTCTATCAGTTCTTCATGAGCGTCATTGAGTAAACTCTGAAATTTAAACTTAGAGTTCAAACGTTTAGATCCACCGTAACACGGCTTTATGACAGCAACAGAGAAAAGTGAAAAATGAGTAAAGGGTATTCGAAAAATCGTGACGATGGCGCGACCGCGCGCGACACGCACGCACCTCTCGACAACCGCATTTTCTAGGTTTTCTTCTCTCCTTGAATGGTTTTTCTGCTTACGTATGACAGTATTTAGACATTGGAAGAGACTGAGCTGAGAGTTGAGGTGATGCCGTTTCGTATGAGTGTTTTCTGCACCTGTGGGCTCAAAGACCAGTCAAATCCGTCGTCACGATTTTACAAACGGCCTATACCATATTTTCGATCTGCGCACCGACCAACCTCCTAGACCAAGGTTTAACACCGTTTCAAAATTTTGTAGATACCGGGCATTACGATACCCCCCTCCCCACAAGCCTGCTGAAAGTATGAGCAAAATATACTCCGGAGGACTTTTTAGCTGCATCTCTTCTTTTGTACACTATTTCTCTTTCTCTGACCAAACTCAGATTTATCTCTGAGTTCAACGATAACTGTAACGCCCACCGAACTCAGAGTTATCGCAAAGCACAGCTGCGCGTTTTGTGGCACTATTTCTTGTGCAGAACGATTTCGACAATGTTTTCCTACTAAGGATGAATTACCGGTTACGGAGTCTGCCATATATCGCTTTCTAGATTTGGACCAATCAACTGTTGAAGGGGTAAGAAAGGTGCGAGTCAGCTCAGATATAACTCAAAGTCATCAGAGCAACTTTGAATTGCGACCAGATTACTACCGACCCTGACGTCTAGTGCCTTTTCTTCATTCGCATTCGGAAAAGGTGATAGATGTGAACGCAAACGTGAAGATGTTCCTGATATCGTCGCAGCGTTACTTCCACTCGACATCGTAAATTGAGGGAGTATTCAAGATAATGCATTAGTGACCGAAAGGATAGTGTTGTGTCAAGAAGTTTGTCGTTTGTTGTAGTGCGAGAAAGGGATATGGTAGAACCAGTCATTGTATAGTAAATATTTCCAGCAACGGTCTAGCTTATCGCATTGCCAACGAGAGGAAGGTTGCTTATTGCCACGAGTGTCGAGTTGAAAGTTGTTGGTAAAGCACTTATACAGTTCAACAATGTGTATACTATATGTGTATCGTGGAGTTGTCGATGGCAGGGCTAGATGTAGAGAATCCGCGCGACGCGCTGAGATATATGTCATGTACTGCAGAGTAGTAGTCGCATAAAAGGGCACTACAAAGACTTGTAAACTATGCGCTTGGTCATGTTATCATAACAAATAGACATTAATTTTTCGAATGATATTCGAAGGTCGAATGATATTCGATATTCGAATGATATTCGATATTCGAATATTCGAAATTTCCGATTTTCGAATATCATTCGATGGTCGAATATTCGAAATTTTCCATTTTCGAATATTATTCGATAGTCGAATATTCGAAATTTTTGATTTTCGAATACAATCGATAATCGAATACTCGAAATTTTCGGTTTTCGAATATTATTCGATAGTCGAATATTCGAAATTTTCAATTTTCGAATATATTCGATATTCGAATATTCGAAAAAATTTCGAATTTCCCCAAGTATACTGTTCCAGAAATCTTGGTTGAATTTAAACGCCTGCCGCCAAGATTAAAGGCAGTGTCCAAGCAAAAAGTCGATTTCGAGATTTTGTGCTTATCTGGCCTATTCGCCATGCTGAATCCGAAAATCAACACTAAAGAGCGCGAAAACGGCGAAAAAAGGCTCTAACGGAGGAGGGAAATTGCAGGTGGGCGGGGCTGTTCACATAGTGGCGTCGCTCTTCCAGCTTCAGGAGCGATCTTCTCGGTTACGATTTTATGTCATGCATTTCGCAGTTGGGTGGTGGTAATGTTAGTGCGGTTAGCAGAAGCAAGAATATTGCTCCTGAAGCTGGGAAAGTGACGCCACTATGTGAACAACCCCGCCCACCTGCGATTTCCCTCCTGTGTTAGGGCCTTTTTTGGCGTTTTCGCGCTCTCCATAGTGGTTTATCGGATTCAGTATGGCGAATAGGCCCAGGTAAGCACAAAATCTCAAAATCGACATTTTGCTTGGACACTGCCTTTAAGAAATATAATCGTTGTCGGACCCTTTGTCGCGACTTTGTGCATTTACACAAATTCCAGACTGTTTAGTATCTAGCTTTTTGCTTTGACTGCAGTATCATTCTCATTTGATAACCCTCTTCTTAGATTCGTTTGTGCTTTATCATGAATTTATTCGTCCTCGTCTCAAACATTCGTTTCAGGGCGACCATCACGATGAAATTTGTGGCATAACTTGCTTTACGTACAGAATCCGCTAATTAGGTCAGTTTTTTCGATTCACAATCTTTTGGGTCGGTCAGATCTTGATCACCAAAACCCTGTGCTGTGCAGCTGTCGAAATTTGCTGGTTGGAGTGCTCTAATGTATGTGTGCGCGCAGTCCTTCAATAATAGTGCGTTAATTTCGAGATTTTTCTGTGCGACAAGAATTTTGGGCCTTTAGTGGACGGCTTGTGTGTGACATCGTATGAGTTTATGACAGATACAAACCTTCGTTCTTCGTATAAATTCTTCGTATAAAACCTCAGAGTTCTGTTGTCTACAATCGCTCGCGCTGTTTACTTTCTTGTGCAGGGAGAAGAATGGATTTTTTGAAATTTTTACCTGCTCGCCAATGCAAGAAAGTGTTGGATTAGATTTAGCTTTGCTATGTTTACACAACTCTTTCCGTTAATTCTGTTCAGTTCGCTTTTCAATGCTGTAAACATGTTGTTTCATCCACCGCAAAATAACGACGCTATTATGAAGGGATAGCAAACACACATAACATAAAGCGCACCGCTTGTTGGCCAATCCAGTTTTCATCAGTACCTGAGCATATGTTTCTCAAATTCTTTTCCGTTCTTGCAGCGGTCGTATGTCTGACTTTCGCATCATTTTAGCAGAATGGAGGAGGACACTTCTGTGTCTGAACTGTTGCGTAAAAGAGAGGAACTCCTACGGCTGTTACAGGAGGAAGACGAAGACGTCGATTACGAAGTTGAAGGTAGGTCGTGAACCTTTCTGCTGTTTCTATGGATACCTTCTAGACGGAGAGTCAGAGGAAGAGGAAGATGGAGGAGTGGATGGAAATGGTGCGAAAGAAGAAGAACAGATGTCGCAGGATAAAGACACAACAGAAGACGCTCTGCCTCCATCTCCCAAACGTATCCGACTGAATAATGTCGACGATGAGATTTCGAATAGTTCTTTGCCTGGTGAGATTACTCTCTATCAGTGTGGAGGCTCTTAGGTGACACCAGGTTCTACGTTTTAAACTCTCTTTCCTATCCAGAAAATCAATGGGAAGGCAGGAATGGGACTTGTCCGTATAAGGCTTCATCTGACTTCGCTCCAGCGGGTGATGCGTAAGGATATTTTTTGATGATGTCTTGATGTTTGATGTTTTTATTCATTTCGAACGAAAATGATTTAATGTATTTCAAGGTCTGGATCATGCTCGCAAAATGCTGTGGAAGATGACCAAGAAGCACTTGACGGAGGTGAGATTCCATGATATGTTGTTCACTGCTCGTATGAGAAGTCTTCAGAAGAAGAAGTGGATGCTGAAGAATTGGATGTTCACAACATTCTTGAGGAAGCTGTCGATAAAATCAAAAAGGAAGCTGCTGATGCTGAGTCTGCACGTATTGTGTGAGAAATTTTATGAGATTTTGGTTGTAGTTCAGTGTCACGTTATGATTTTGCATTTGGCTGATCTTGAGCGCAAGAATCACTTTTTGTAATTACTTCGTACAGACATGCGAAGTTTGGCTAAAGCTAGGTTTTTGTTTCCTCCAGGATCAATTTGGGTACTCGTGACATCTCATTCCCATGCATATTCCGTAAGAATTTGTCAAAGGCAGAGCAAACAACAGATTAAATGCGCAACTTAGTGTTTTTTACTAGGAATAGATCATTTTCAGAAGTTTACTCAAGCCAGTGGTGTACAATAGTCGAGAGCCATTTCACTTGCCAGCCTTTCCCTCTATCTGTATTGGAAATTTTAGCTACATAAATCAGTGAAAGAATTTGTTTTCAAAGATGCCTAAGCAATAGTATACTCAGATACTTCTGGTTGCTAATGTTCGATAGCTGCTCTGCTGTAATGATCTCTTCATCTTATATTGAGCGCTCCCTATTCACTAATGACCATTGTAAGGTATCACGGGCTGATCTAGCAGATTTTCTAACACTCATTCCATTGTCATTGTACCTTTACTAATATCATATTGTTGCGAAATTTATTTTGTATCGGCAGAACTCAGCAGTTTTTGTTTTTAGGTGGAAATATGTGCCGGAACGAATTGAACACGATCATTTCATGAATCTGCCTGAAGGATGGACGCGCATCACTCATAACAGCGGCATGCCTGTTTACCTAGTAAGCTCTCCACTACCTGTTGCCAATTTATAGCACTAACGTTTAGCATCGCAAGTCCCGTGTGGTGTCACTTTCTAAGCCCTATTTTATTGGCACGCAAGGAGTCCGAGATCATCCGATACCCGTAACAGGAATTCCTTGCCTTCATCAGCGAAGGATCATGGAAAGAGTAGGAGAAGTTACTTTTTCCAAGTCAATAACTAGTTGAATGATTTCTTCTCAACAGGATGCCGCTCTTGCCGCGGAGGCGGAACGTCAGAAGAAGGATGAGAATGAGGCTCCAGAAGCCACCCTCGAGAACGAAATCAAACAGAAACTAATAGCTCCAGCTGTGAAAATTGAGGTCTGTGGTAAAGCAGAATGCTTAGGGAACGTAAGCTTGAAGATTCGCTTACATTTGTTTGTCACTTTCTACCTTCCTGATTCAAAAGTCCATCCAAGATAAGGTCTTGAACAGAAAAATAGGCACTGGGTCCATGTTGTATCGTGGGCTGGACCTAACATTCTGTCTACTCTACTTTTCATCTCGCTGTTGAATATCTTGCAGCTTGTCTGCTAATTTCAAACTGTAAATAAATGGTACTCTTAGTGACCTTACACTTCCTCTTTAAAAGAAATATCTGACTTAGTTGATTGCGAGATATTCAAGCTTCCAATTCTCATGCGTCATGGTAAGTTGTAGTCAAAACAAACTATCGATGCTGATATTTTTGGTTTGAATCTATCTGTTTCTTGCTTCTGCATCTTTCTTCATAATCTATATTCAAAACTTCTCAATGCTTTTCGTGCTTTCCGAAACTGGCGAAAGTGCTATAATGGACACTTTTTGCCTATCTCGGACAGGTTCGATGAGCAAAAGTTTTATCCCTTGTTGGTGGTGGTGTGTTAGTTAGTGTTTGATTGCCGTGTAAGTGTATTTCGTGGTGGTCGCATTCTTACACTCCATCCATCATGTTTACTAATAAGCTCACATTATCATAGCTCCTTTCCCGACTTAATTTACATTATACAAATAAAATTGTTGAACCTGTCTGAATTTACGCGTCCGAACTTGTGGAGAACGCAGTTGTCCACTTTGCAGTTTGCCATGAAAAAATCGCAGTCTGTATTGGTGCGTACTCCTTCGCTCTTCCCAAAATCGTCGAGTTTCTTGTTTGCAATTTAGATCCAAACAGATTCGTCACGTCTTTATTCAGAGTATTTCGAAGGCTAATATGAATATCTAAACATTTTTGCAAAGCTTTTGGCTTGCACTTTCAATAGGCTTGCAGTCATCTTGCTACTGTCCTTGCAATGCGCGACTCATTCTACGAATACTTTTCGTCATCAGTTTCTAACGATATCGATGCTCATTTGTACGAAGTATACCCATGCGGCATATCTGTGCCCATAGTTCGATTTCTTGTGTTGAAAAAATCGACATATTTCAGCGCCAAGAAGATTACTTACTCACCGGTGAAGAGTATCGAAAGTATGCTGAAAAACTCTTTAAATTTAAACTAATTCAGGTACCTGATATTTTGTTTCGTTTGGCTGTAAGGCTTTCGAAGCGAAGATTGTCTACGGCTTTATTTAGGTGAAAAAGTTCACCAACTTCAAGGACAAAAAAGCAGATTATCGTGAGAAGCAACTCGATCAAGCTCTGAAAGATTCAGGTGCTCTGAGGCTTTGTCTCATAATCAGGATTTTGTTAATCTCTCTATTTGAGGTGTGCCTCTAAAAATGAAGGAAGTATTGAATAAGAATGAGAAGGCACCAGCGGGTGTAAGTATATTTCTATCGCTCAAAATTCGCTAGGGAGTTGGAGCTGCTATTTTTGTGATGCGTGCATTTCTAGCTGGCTTTGATCCACATCGAATCCGCTGATCCGCGTTTTCATAAGCGTAGCTTCGTTATGAATCCACAAGGAAAATCATCTATAACGGTGCTACACGAATACTCACAACGAGCCTTGAAAGGTCGAACTATTTATCACATCGAAGAGACGAGGTAAGAAGCATTTTCCCGAAACCATCGTTTTTGGCGCTCGAAATTCGTCTTGGCGATCTGAGTTTATTTATCTTAGGAACGCAACTAAGCCATTCCATGCTACGGGTATTGTAGTAGTCAAGAAATCTGTGCGGGTTCAAATTGCTGGTACTGTCAAAGATAAACTAGCTTTATTAGGAGCCAGCAATGGTGAAAACGGGGATAATGCTGACGAAGGTAGAATTCTTTCTATGTTTCCTCTGTTTTATCTGCAACTTTTTGCTTGCAACAGAGTTGATTTAGATTCCATAATTGTCGGTCGTGGCGAAGGACCAAGCAAACGGGTCGCGAAAATGGTGGCTGCAAAACAGGCACTCGCGGTAAGTGAATCCATAGGCATTTCGTTCTTCATTCATATATTTACAATCTTATCTAAGTCTTTTTGTTCCAATCACGTATTTTTGGAGTTCTCTTCTATGACTTCTTGTGCTTTCCTTCTCATAATCTTTATTCCCCTCTCTGTTTCACATGAGCTCTTGCAATGATCAATTATGGCCCATTTTACTGTTAGTTTTTTTACCCCTGAATGAGCATTTTGCGTCTTTTCCTAGCCCCCACTCTTCTTTTCAGGTATTGATCCCGGAGATAAGATTTAATGATGATTACATGGCTACGATTCAACCTCCAGATGCCACTGAAAAGAATTACGATGACCAGGTATATTCTTAAATGAGCTTGCATTCTCGTTTTGCAGCTTCCTTTCGCCTGAAGGGTTATGCAGATCGCCTTTAAATCCTAGGCTATTGCACTCTTTGACGAATTGCCCATCGAAGATCCGCGCATCTCTGATCTCGCTGTGCGCACTTGTCTACCGAAGCCGATGATTCTTCTGAAAGTAAGTTTTGAATTTTTTTTTCGGCGAATGGAGTATGGGATTGTAAATATGATACTAACTTGGTTTGGGAATATTATGATCTCTTCGACGAATCTTGATGTGATGCACATGTTCAAATGCCGCTTGCCAGATGTAGAAGCGGCGTGTGTATAAGTGCTAATAGTTTGTGGTCTAATGAACGTAGTCTTGGGGTTGTAGAGTTAGTGTTGGGGGTCTCATCAACACAACTAACCTTATATAAAGCGAATGTGTGCTTGTCTGTGACACACACATGCATCTAGTGTCCGGGGGGCGGGGGAGGTGGATTATAGTGGACTTCTTCTTACAACCGATATCGATCTCATTGATTTTTTGCGAATTTTGCGCCAAAATACCTGAAATGTTAATTCTTGACTTAGAACATCGATTACAGACTCTGAGATGCGGCGTGGTGCAGGGCTAAGTGGGCATGCCTTGCACATTGCATTCTCTCTCTGAAAACTCTGAGTCCTAGAAAATTCCTAACTTGGTCACAGATACACTATTCAGATCAGACATCTGTTTATTCTGTTGCTGTATTTTTCCTTGAATAGAAATCGACAAAACGAGAACTTTCATGTTTTTGCCAAAGATGCTGTGCTGTTCCCACATTGGTCGTATACTACACCAGTACAAGACAGACATGAATTTTCAGCTTTCTACAGGCTTAAGTTCTCGAGAAATATTGTTTTAGTATGGGACACCCGAATAAGCGAAGTTAAATTTGATTTCTCGAAAACTTAAGCCCATACAAAGCTGAAAATTCACTTTTCTATCTGTAGTGGTCTGTAGTATACAACAACCAATGTGGTAACAACACAGCGTCACTTTGGCAAAAAAATGAAAATTTTCGTTTTTCTGATTTCTATCCAAGAAAAGAATACAGCAACAGTATAAATAAATGTCTGATGTGGATAATATATCTCTGAGCAAGTTAGGAATTTTCTAGGATTTTTTGGACGGAAGTCACGATTTTTTCTTTATTATTCGGGTGGTTGGATCTTTTTATAATAGTTGTTGGCTGCAAACTCGAAAAGGATTTGAACTGGTGCGAAAGCAGGAGCACCATCTTGTAGAGCTTGCTCTGCTTTATCAAATGGTACCTTGAAATGTATCTAGAATTGAGAAATTAATGTCTTATTGCATTGGGATTCAATTAGGACGAGACTTATGGGACAACCTGATAGTGGTCAGAGATTTTCATTTACTTAAATAACCTTTGTAAATATCTTTTTCGGTGCAGCTTACGCTGATGACTTCTGTGCTTTCGATGTCATCCTATCAAAACTCATGAATTTACATGAAAAAAAAACATGACTCTTATTGTTAGTTCTTGTTGAAAGCCAGAAGCATATTCTGTGATACCATGAAACATACTTTCTCCTTCGCAGTTTATTTCTTGCTTTATGATTTCTTTCTTGTCAGTGGTTTACAAACTAAGCAGGATGCATCCTTTGAACTCAACTCGAATCAGATACACCATTGGTATCACTCAGATGAAGCGTTGTATTCACCTCGCCCTCACACAACTTGCTCCGCTGCGAGATTTATTTTTCATTAGAAGTTCTTATGAAATTTTAAAAGGGTTTTACGAAGAAAGAGACGTTTGGCTCGAATATTAAGAGCTGTCGGGCTCCCTGAGTAAGCTTGGCACATGCTGTTTTATGTGAGGTCGTATATCAGTTGAGCTCTGAAACGACCGCCGTCTTTCCCCGAGGAGTTCTCCGCCCGCGCAACGCCCTAAGCGGAAGTGGGATAGGTGTGAAAGACAGTCCCTTGGCTCGTTGTATCTAATCTGCGACTCTATCTTGTTATTAGCAGAGCTTTCAATTTATTATCCTCCATTTTCCCTTTGACCAATATATCCCGTTTTTTCGCTAACTATGGCGCGGGTGTACCTATTCAATTGCTGCGGAAGCACCATTGAAATCTCTAGGGTCTCCTGTAAAGTTAAGGCGGCGCACACGCATAATTTCAGCAGTGATTTAGCTCGCTTATGTCTGCAATTGCTTGCAATTCAACGACACGCATTAGCATTTTCCGTGATAGCGATTACGGTATCCAGCTCAAGTTTTATCCTTTCTTTAAATGAAGTTCTCACTTGTACGTTTGAAGGTAAAAACAAAAATTTTAGGGTTGGTTCTTGGAAATTTCTGTTGACTATAGTCTTTCGCTGAAACATAATTTGTTACAGTGAATTAAGTGTAGTCTTTCGCTCTCGGCAGTATTAATAGCATTTCAGACCGCTTTGCTGCGATCTATAAAACTATGCCGAGAGGTCCCGTCGACGAAGGTGGAATTGTTGGGGCCAATGAAAACGAAGGTGACTATGACTGTTGGAGAGCTAACTGCCGAGGTTTGCCGGTTTGGATTCACAAAATAAGTGTTAATCCTGAAATCTTCCAGGTGGTTGCATGTGGCAGCAAAGTTGGTCAACAACGTGCAGCGCAAAATTTGCTGAAGCAAATCCATCCACAGGTAAGCATGTCTGGAATAAAGGATCTGCGAAAATTTCTCGCTATCTTGATCGTTGAGGCAGTAGTAATGTCGAAGTATATTATCCATGAAAAAAAGAAAGTCGGATTATTATAAAACATTATCGATTTCTGTTCTAACATAGATCACATACGAAGCTTTTGTGAAGAACGAAATCTTCATTACTGTAGTTTTACATACAGGTAGCAACTGAGTGTTTTTGCTTATGGAAAATATAAAGTCCGGAGATGCGAACTTACTATCTGCGCAAAATGAATCCCGGCCATGTCAAGAAATCAAATTTGATTCAAACATATTGATATCTGGTTGAGATTCATCTGTTGTGGTAGTGTATTTACAAAACTTCAGGTTTCCACATACGGCGGTCTTTTACGAATTTATGCTAATCCTGACGAAAAGGAAGAACAGCGCGAGACAAGAAAACTACAGGCTGAGGTTTGTTTGCTACGCGTATAAAGGTGTTTGCGTTGAGGGGCAGAAAAGTGTTTCAGCTTGTCCAACTGCAAAATCAGACGAAGGGTTCCGCAGATTCAAAGAAAGCAGGTAAAGCAAAAGCAGGATCGAACTCAGACTGCTTGAAGACGGCAGCCATGGAAGCACGTGAAAAAGCAGAGAAAGCCAGGGAACGCATGGAGAAGCTCAAAGGTAAAGCGGCGGAAGCGAAGGAAGTAGCCGACAAGTTGAAGGCGAAAGCTGAAAGTGCCAAAAGAGCCGCAGATCGTGCGGCTTCCAAGCTGGATCGGGAAAAAGCGCGAGCTGCCACAGCAAAATGGTGCAAAGTCACAGATCAGTACAAGAAAGCAAACAGAAGGGCAGGAAAACTGAAGTCTTTGGCGGAGAAAGCGACAAAGAAGTACAAGAAGCGGCAAAAGAAAGCAGACAGACCGTTAGAGAAAAAGAAATGGGAGCGAATCAGAGAAAAGACGAAAAACAATCGCTCGGATGCCAATGAGGCTGTACTAGCTTTGCTTCGTAAAGAGATGGCTCGTATCAAGGAGCGTCCTATGACTCGCACCTACATGTATGCTACAAAAGCTTTGATCAAATAACCCTCGTTTTCACTTGCTTCCAACTCTTACTCTTATGTGCAATCTCTCAATCTCTTTTCTAAAGCGATATCAAGTTTTTCAATGTTACTGGGCAATCAAGTGTCCGCCACGCAAAAAAATTCCAAGCTGAAAATGTCATCCTCAATTTTCTGCAGTGAAATCTAGGTAATGATTCAAAACTGTCATGATCGTCTCGATGGCAGGCAAACATAAAATATGTTAAAATAAGTTCCTTCGCGCTCTGCTCAAATCTAGCTCATAAAAGTGAACACTTGTTGGGCATTCGGAATACGGGCACTCGTTATTGTCTAGAAAAATCGCGCACATTGTTAGGTTAAGTATCTGTTCACATTTTTTTCATACTCTCTGATCGACAGCACATGATGCTGTCGTGAGAAGGCACCAGGTTCAGTAACTCTTCACTGAGTTTTTGGATGATTATCTATAATATGTTGTCACAGTCAATTTTAAGGGTTTTAATTCTTTCCATTTCCACTCTGATCTTTATATTGTCATCTACGTGTATACTATGGCCTTCTGGTTTGATGGTTACTTTGTTTTTACACACTTTTGATGCTGTCCAACATTTTGATTTACGCGTTTATAATGTTTTAAAACTCTTACTGAATTTTTCACGAGTTAATTTAGCAGAGCATAACGTGTATAGGGCATACCAACCACCATCGGTCGCGGATACCCAGGGGAAGAGGCAGCGCTCGCGCGACGCGAGCAAAGGAGATTGCACTCGAGCGCGAAAGCGAGCCTTGTTCTTAGACTCATGACGTTGACTCATCTCGTTTTTACCTTATATTCTCTTGTTAGGCATTAGATTTCGTACTTGTATCGATTACTAGACATTTCAGATGGTGGCGCTGTTCGAATGAAAAATATTCAAACAAGAACGGTGAACGCGCATATTTTGCTTATGCATAGCAGGAAATTATCATCTGTTCCGAGTTGAGGAGACTCGAGCACGCTTTGCACAAGTATGATGTGAAAATGTTACTTGTTCTTTACCCTATTTGGTTGGTTTACCACTCGAGATTAGATGAGAAACAAGTACAAGTTTGTTAAACAACGTGTACAACGTTCTGAAGTCTCTAATCTCGGATTTGGCATATAACCAAAATGCCAAATTCAAGTCACAGTCGCATGAAGCCGAATTACCTTTTCCAATTTGAAAGAAAGGAAGTTTCAGTGTGCTTATGCTTCTCATTTCGCGTGAAATACGGAAAACAAGATATTCCAACATGCAATTGAGTACAAAATGAAGTTCATCAGATATGCAAGAGAAGGCTATGTACAAATCAGCTAAAAAAGAACAATATTCAACTCTAGCCACAGATACAGTGACGCTTTCGCGCTCGGGTACTAATTTCGCCGCCCGCGTCGCGCTTTCGCAACCTCATCCCGTGGGTACCCACGACTGATGGTGGCTGGTATGCCCTATATGTGATGACACTTCATGTTTGAGCACCTGAGCTTTTAAATGGCGGGAATTTCTCAGTCACTCTGCTATGGTTTTACTTTGCTGATGTTATCGTAATTGTGCTTCTTGATCATTCTGGTGACAAAATAGATCTTCTGCTTATCTATCGCTTTGCTATTTTGCTGTGATTTCTGATAAAGGCTAGTGTATGTCGCTAAGCATGGTAGTATACCAGCTATTGTTAACATCATCCATACTTTTCGATTTGTCTTATTCACAAGGCGTAGTGTAATACTGAATCTCAAGTGGAGTGGAGATGTTACACAAACATGGAGATGTTTTTGCAGTCACTACACTTTACAGAGTACGGTGTCGCAACTGTTTGGAAGTAGGTTTGCCCCTTTTTGTTGGAGTAGAAATTGTCTACTAGTCGGATGCCGTTCTTTTCGAGGAATGACTTCATTTGCGGCAGATGCGGTGAAGAAATTAGATACTTGTAAAACAAATGTAAAGCTCGCCTATAGCTCTGGCTTGCAGAAGTCCTGCATGGGATCGCTATGAGCATTTTTGTCAGCGCAATAAAAATTAATGATGGCAAGACCATTCAATATGCATTAATAAGTTTTTGCGTCATTCAATGTCACGCTACCTCGAGGTGGGCAGGTTCTTGAAGTAAATAGGGCATGACAACATACTTCCGATAGAGAGCAGTTGCACAGTCAGCTTATAATGCAGATTGACGTTGTAGTGGTTAATATCACAGTATTCTTACTTTCTGGCACTGAAGTAAGGGCGGATTTAATTATCAGATGGTGTTTTCTGCCGTATGTTGTACTGTGTGCCAGTTCTTGCTTTGCAATTATTAGGTTGGCCCTAAAGTTCTTTCGCACCAAATTCAAAAATGCATAACTTCTGATGTTTCCAAACTTGGCTGCTTTTATTTTTATGTAAAAGAGTAAGTCATGCTCTTTATGATGACATCTTAGCTGCTTGCGAATGATCATCTGTTGCATAGATAGGAGCTAGAAGAATTAGTCAAAGTTCGAATTTTCTGTGTAGGGTCATAAAAAATCGGAAGCTTGCAACAGAAATCGGAGCAGTTGGTATTGTAGGTTCTTTCACCAGCTCTTTCTAACAGTGCAAAGTTTACGCCGATTGAGCTTCTCTATGAAAAGTTATGATTTTCCTGAAAAATGCCAAAATAAAACAAATTCGCCATTTTGTATTGCTAGCTCGAAAATCATAACTTTTCATAGAGACGCTCAATCAGCACAAACTTTCCATTGTTAGAAAGGGCTGGTAATAGAACCTACAATACCGACTGCTCCGATTTTTGTTTCAAGTTTCCGATTTATTATGACCCTACACAGAAAATTCAAATTTTGACTAACATCTACCGCTCCTATCTATGCAATAGATGACCATTAGTAAGCAGCTAAGATGTCTTTACAAAGAGCATGACTAACTCTTTATATAAAAATAAATGCAGTCAAATCGGTTGGAAAAATCAGAAGTTATGAATTTTTGAAAATGGTGCGAAAGAATTTTCGGGCCAACCTAATAGAAATTGTGACACGCAGTTGGAGATGGTTGCGGAATCATGTTTTTTGTTTATGGTCTGCATCTCTACACAAACTCATAGTATACCACAGTGGCGTACCGAGGGGGGGGGGACGGGCGCCCCCCCCCCCCCGAGAACGGGTCGCGAAATTTTTGAAAGTTACTTCATGAGTTATAAAAATGTGCAAATGACTTGTTTATTTTTGTAAACAATTAAAATAATTTTTAAAATTTTTTAAAAATTCAAATCTTATATATAAAGCTGAATGTCTGTATGTCTGTCTGTCTGTATGTCTGTCTGTATGTCTGTACGTATGTGCGGAATAGAAATTTTTATTTCTGAACCGATTCGGACCAAACTTGGCACACATATACTTCGGGGCAGAGAGCGTGTCATAGGCTACTTTTCGTTATCGATCGATATCGATTTTATCGATTTTTTGCAAAATTTGAGCTAGGGGGCCCTAGCTCAAATTTTGCAAAAAATCGGTAAAATCGACATCGATCGATAACGAAAAGTGGACTATGACACGCTCCCTGCCCCGAAGTGTATGTGTGCAAAGTTTGGTCCCGGGCGGAGCCGGGTTTGCCATCTAGTCATTCATAAAAAATACCTGAACTATAGGTTTGTTAATAAGCTTCAACTCGGGCCTCCTGTGAAGCCAGATCTTTCTAGGCGTTACGCTTTATTTTGCAGTCTCAGCAAACGAAATTGGTGCGGCAACAAGGGCGCTGTATGAAAATCTGAATGTATGTTTTGCGATTTATTATGAGTACTGTCTACCGTACGGCCATAGTTGTGAAACCAGCAGCGGCTCATGGTCAGCAGATTTGAAAGCTCTGCAGCTTTGGAGTTTACTAGTCCACCGATCAAGCATCACACCAATTGGTACAAGAGGAAGAGAGAAAGAAGCGCTTGCGATTATGTAAAAAGACGAGAAAGACCTGGGTAGTAACATTACTTTATGCAAGAAAACAACATACTCAGAATGGGAACTCTTCGAAGAAGGGAATAAGAAAAAAGAAGAAAAATTCGAAAGGAGTGACGGACCATGGATTCAGCCATTGACGCTGACTTGCATTCCAAGATATCCATACCAACAAAAAGGTTGTTCAAACATGTTGACAGTAATTCTTGCTGCTGCCGCTGTGCCGCGTTAGATAATGGTTGACTAAACCTCGAGTAGATATGCGTAGGCAAGAAATCAAAGAAAGAGATAGAAGACTAGAATTCTCTGGTCCTAATAGCAAATTTGGGAATTCGTTGATGATTTCTATCACAGCGCAAATCGCAATTCACTTTTGGAGGAAACAGTGGATATAATCAGGAACCGCTAGACACAAAAACCATTTGTGATTGTAATGACGAAGAAGTTCATGGTTGCTGGGGAGAATGCATCAATTCATTGCGTCTTTGAGAAGCGGAGAAGGGTGTTGTCGCAGTGCTTTCGTTGAGATTGTTACTCTTGTTGTCATTGCTTACATCGATCTAATATCTGCTGCATGACGAAGGCGGTTGCTCAAACAGGTTGAAGGCTGTCGCACACGGCGCGCGGGCAATTGTCAACCACCGGGCGCGCGCACGCTAGGTCAGCGGTCATCCATTGGCGCGTGCGCGCGCCCCCGTGGCTGACAATTGCCCGCGCGCCGTGTGCGCAACAGCCTTCAACCTAATTGGGCGACCGCCACGAGCAGATATTACAAGGAAAAAATGTTCTAGTTTTTTTATTCCATCATCGCCTTAGTGGTATGTTTTTTTGCTGTTCTAACTTTATTTGTTTTTTTAAGAGATCCTACAATCTTTTAGTGGTCTAGACCGAATTTTGTAAGCAAACAAATTTAAGTTTATTAGCATGGCTCGCTTTGGGTCTACAATAGTAATAGTTTCAGACTATCTTCTCTCCGTAATTGATCAACTTCCGCGGCGAAAAAAGCGGCCACAAGCTGGAGCAGCGCGAAATAACAAGTGGTGGATAGTTCGCTTGTCCACATGTCAAGCTCGCGTGGTCCCGCCACGTGCACGGCATTCGGTGAAATATCCACACCTTTGGGTGCACATCGAAGGTTGTCACGAGAACCAGTACTTCTAAGTCATTGTTACGATCTTGTCGCACGAATCCGAGTTAATAGCCCGCAAAACGTTGGAGGCTTTTTGGATAGCGTCTAAAACACCAAAAATGAATCGCAAAGATGAAGGCATTGCCATAAATAGCAAAGCAAATTGTTCTCCTATCAAACGCTATGTGGATTCTGATATTAGATCTTCTATCATCTATATATATATATATATATATATATATATATATATATATATATATATATATATATATATATATATATATATATATATATATATATATATATATATATATATATATATATATATATATATATATATATATATATATATATATATATATATATATATATATATATATATATATATATATATATATATATATATAAGTGAAAGTGTGTATGTTAGTGTGAATCTTTGTTCAGAATACAAATTTTTCTAAGAGGACCTACGAGGCTGAAATTCCCTCCCCTATAAACAAGCTACGGCGCAGGTCGTAGGCTACTTTTCGCGGCGAGTCATCGGGTTCTTCTATCGATTTATTGATTTGTTTCCTTTATCTAAGGAGAATGACGCTTACCAGTCATTGATAAGAATCATTTCAACAAGTCAAGAGGATGGGGCGGTAACGGTCATTTATATTTTGCGATCGAGAGGATGCGGTGTCACGATGGTAGGAGTTCAAGAACAAAGGCAAATCTATCACGTTACTGAGCGCTGTGCAGACGTCGAGTGAAAGCAGGAAAGAAGATAAAAAGGAGCTGCAGGGATTGAGATTAGAAGAAAGGAGACGGGTTGTGAGTCTTTGGTCGCTTTTGATCACATATCATGTCAGGCCAATTCAACACGGCCGGGCTGGGCCGGGAATGCCAGCTAGTTAGCATTATAAAAAAAATTTTTTCGGGGGCGTGGCTGAGTTGGGGGCCCGCAAAATTGTTGAGAAGCCCCCCTAAAATTTTTTTGGAGTGCGTGGCTTACGCCACTCATTTGAAAAATTTTTTTGCCGCGCCTCCCCCCCCCCCCCGAGCCGAAATCCTGGGTACGCCACTGGTATACCATCATTCTTTGGAGTTACATAGCAGTCAAAGAGTCAACTTCGTACAGTTCTTCACATTCCGTACATTTATTCTTACAAGTAGGCCTTCTCGCAAGGGAATGGTCAGAAGTCGAAGTAGCCAAACCAAACAAGCTGTATGTCATTCGATGCAGTATAAAACGTTGACTTCGAATCTGTCTTCCTTATCTGCTTATCGCTTCTGTGGACGAAGCTACAAGCGGTTTTATTGTGGAAAAATACATAAAAACAGCGAAATTGAGCACATTGTTGCACTTTTAGCTCAGCTTCTGCCCTTAAAAATTTTGAGTAAGCTAGCTGCATGTTTTGGCCCAGCATTGAGGCGAACGTGGCTGTACGACTAAATTTTCAATTTCACGCATAATTTCTTAGCAAAACAGTGGTCTTCAATAGCTTATAGCTTCGTCTAGAAAAGCGATAAGCGGATAGAAAGACAGATTTAGAGGGTATGCAGCTTGTCTGGATTGACCATTTCGATTTCTGATCATTCCCTTGTCAGTCGAAGTGGCCTTTCCACATGACAACTATATCACTTTGTAGAGCTTTGAACTGTGACTCGAAATCTGTCTTCTTTTCCTGCGGAACAACTCAGTGAATGAACTTATGAGTATTTGAAATTCGAGATTTGTCAAGCATCAAGTGACATAAAATCAGCGAAAAGCTGTTCAAAACGTCTATTCGGATTCAAGGGTGTGTTCTTTGTAGTCGGTTGCTTAATACAAGATTACCTACTCTGTTGTTTCTCTACAGCTTTTCGCTATTTTTGGCCACTCAAAGTATTACATATTCGGACTTTCACACACTCACAACTTCTTTCGATAAGTTGTTCCGCAGAAATAGAAGACAGATTTGAAAATTACCGTTCAATGCTTTACAAAGTGGTATAGGTATTATGAGGAAGGCCACTTCGACTAAAAATGGTTCTCTTGTTACATAAATCATTCGTTATTTACTTCCCCCCACCCTTTTCACAGTTGTTGCTACCCCTTAGTCTGGGTTTCTGACCTGCGGCACGGGTGACCAATATAGGCATTATGCGGCAAAATGTAGGCACTGAGACTGGTAGCCAAAATGTTCTGCTAACATGTTGTTGCTTGTTGCAAACGTGTTGTAACACTTTGCCAACGTGTTAGCCATACTTGCCATAGTTCAGGGGAGACGGTCTTTTCGCACGGACGGTCTCCAGCGTCTCCCTGATTTTGACTTGTCTTAACATGTAATGCACGCCGCAAATCCCCCTGTTTTGCTCAGGCAAAAGCCGCCGCAGGGTGTGTCGCGCGCGGCGGTGGTCCTGTGTGGAAAGCACGGTCGTGCGAAACGTCCTACACCCATAGTTCAGAGACGCAAGTCAAGGGGTAGCAGCAACTGTAGAAGGGACGATACTCAGAGAAAGGCTCGATATCAGCAAGTTTCCTTGTTTAGAGACATGCTCGTAGATAAGAAGAATTGAATGCGGTAACGCCTTTTGCCGAATAGATCGAGACCGGTAATCGGCAGTAGCATATTGAGGAGTGGAGAGGGCGCACCCCTTTTCCCCTCCCCCTCTTCCCCCGAGAATGTGTCGCGAAGTTATTGAAAGTTTTGTGTTATAAAAATGTGCAGATGACTAAATTTGTAAATAATCGGAATAATTTCTGAAATTTTGCAAAAATCCGATTCAGCTTCATAAATAGCTGACGCCATGCCCCCTTTTTCTGAAATTTCGCAGCTATAGGCCCCCAAAAGTTGTAGGAAATATAGTATAAAATTTTTCGGTGTGAGCGGCTGACGTCACGCACCTCCATAAGAAAGTTTTTTTTGGTCCCCCCCCCCCTCCCCTCCTCCTCGAACGGAAATCCTGGGTACGCCACTGCTATAGGCCATTCGCAACAACTCACGCAGTGTGGCTACTGGGTGCTGTTGTGCGAAAAGGCCATTTCTTCTTGTGTCACCTTCCCGCGGGAGTATAACAGTCTGAATCATGTACAGATCTTTAATTGATGATCTTCATGGTAGAATTGTTCACCACCACGATATAGTTGCTGAATACTACGCGACGAAGTGGTCGTGCAAGGCGCGCTCTGTTGTGTAAAGTTTTGAACAATTATAATGCTACCAACGCTCACTCGGCATCATTTGCTGCAAGATGTCGATGCGCACCACCATAAGCAATGAGTTTGTGTTGCGCAGCATCATCTGCCACAATAATACGCCATTAGTAGCAAAGCGTTATGTTGGTGCCTAACAACATTGTTGCACAACTAGATTAGTGCAAACACCGTCAACAAAGTGACGTTGTTCAATACCATCAGCATCATTTGCTGCAGATTACTGGTAAAGGAGTTTTCAATCTGAGTGTCATGGTCGGCGTGGTTCAGCTCCTCGCGAGCCGCCTCGCTTGGGTCTTTCACGTGGTACAATACCGCAGCTGACACCGAGAAGGCCTTAGCGGAAGCGCTATTGTACCACGTGAGAGACCCAAGCGAGGGGGTTCACGAGGAGTTGAACCACGTCGGCCGTGATACTCAGGCTGAAAGCCCCTGTCGCTGCATCGGCAGTATGAGCAACAAGAGTCTGTAGTGGTGTTGTTGGACAACGCAATCCGACGCTAGTGTTAATCAATGTGCAACAGCAGCATCTGCGAACATTTGATGCATCCCGCTATCCTGAATGTTGTTGCTCAGCACCAGCCGCAACTAGAATTCTATAAGGTGGCAGTGGCGTACCGGGGGGGGGGGGGGCGCCCCCCCCCCCGAGAATGGGTTGCGAAATTTTTGAAAGTTACTTATATGGGTTATAAAAACGTGCAAGTGACTTGTTTGTACTTGTAAATAATTAAAATAATTTTTAAAAATTTTTAAAGATTCAATTTAGTCTTATAAAAAAATTTTTGACGGCTGACGCCACGCCCCTTTTTTCTAAAATTTTGGGGTTATGGGACCGCGAAAATTCTGAGAAGCATGCCAAAATGTTTTTCTCGGTTGTGTGGCTAACGCCACGCACCTTCATCAGGAAAAATTTTTTTTCGCCCCCCCCCCTCGAGCCGAAATCCTGGGTACGCCACTGTAAGGTGGTTTTGCTCAGCACCAGCCGCAACTAGAATTCTATAAGGTGGTGTTGCTCAGCACCAGCCGCAACCATAATTCCACAATGGTGTTTCTATAAGGTGGTGTTGCTCAAGACTAGCCGCAATCAGAAGTCCTTGCACAATGATGTTTTGCTCATTTTGTCACCACTGGAATACTGGTCGTGGATAGCGAGCTGATGCTCAACTATGGGCACTAGAAAGTTGATGCTTAGCGGTCTTCGCTTTCAAAATAATGGAAAGAATGGACTATGCTGAGTCAGTCCATCCAGAAAAAAAGTCTATTTGTAAAAGCTAATCGATCGCGTTTTTAACCTCTGTAGATCCAAATCCCTGCTCCAGAAGTTTTTTTTGTGTCATTTATTTTCTAGCACATAAATAAATTTTTTATTTTTCAAATTTAAGTCGTACTTTTACAATTTTTTTCAGAGACATGTTACCCTCAAAGATTATTCTTGTACAACCTTGCCCTTCACAGTTTTGTTAACATCATTAATATATTCCGATTATACAACGAAATATGACACTTTGCTGGAAACAGCGCGAATAATGATTACAGCAATTCAGCTCAACGCGAAGATGGTTGCCAGCGCGTTCAAAAAGAGTCTAAGCCAGTTTTCGTCCTTTCTGTCTGTCCTCAATATTCAGTGAAGTGTACTGCGGTTGTTTCCATCGACTATAGAGCACATACTTCAGCCAATATAGTTTTTGTTTTGATATGCAACGATAAATCACAAACCGCTTTGCTTAATCTATCTTAAGACAGTTGTAGCAATCGTTATGCTTGTGGCATCATGATAGCTTTATCATAGGAGCAAAAAAGAAGAAATGTGGTTTTGAATGAGGAATGTCGTACGAAACATAGCTTGTGCAATGCTCAAGTGTTAAGCTCTACAGCAGTTTCACTCAGAAAGCCGGCAGGGGAAGTTATGCTATCGTACTTGACAGGGATACAGAAGTAGCGAGTACTCAGCCTTCAGCGCATCTAGTCGCTGTGCAAACTTTTAGAATTTCACGCAGGAAAGCGAAAGAATGTTAGTGATGAAGGCTTTGCTATACTGGTCTTCTCACTGTGGTGTAACCGTGCGGACAACTGACCAAGAACATGTGAGTGTGCGACTGCGCATGCCGGGTGCAGGGTCAAGTTGGTGACAGCGGCATCCAAACGTCGTCTCGGCATGGTCACTTCGAGGCACACACACAACACTCACACTCACACATCGATCGTTGACCCTCGGCCTGGGCCCCGCCCCCTCCCTCTCGAAGCTGCCAACGGCTGTGGGAGGGCGCGAGTGGTTGTCGGCGCTGTGCCGCTGCGGCTACGGGGCCCGGGGGCATTTCGCACAACGTCACAACAGCGCATGAACTTCTGACAGCTGGCCACGATCTTTGGCGATCGATTGATAGCCTGTCCTCTCTTCGAGTTCAACTTGTTCGTCTAATCTGTCCTCTCGTCCGTATACCAATCTGTTTTCGTATTTGTATGTTTTGATTTTTTTATCTACTTTTGCTGACAGACACGTACAGTGCAAAGGCACGGCCGAGAGCACGGGAGCGAAGACTGAGTGAGTGTGCTGTGCTGCTGCTGGTGATCCGCTAGTAGCACACAACGCAGCGCAAGATATGCGATGGACTGTGGCCTGTGGTGCGTGTTCAGCGAACGTCGAAGGCACGTCGAACGACTTTGGCGCAGGCGCCTTCTTGTCACTAGCGACGAACGTCGCGCTCGTCGCAGGTCTCGAATCATTTTGTTTTTGCAAAATTGTAGAGCTACAAGGGTCACTGAGTCTCGCTCGAAAAACCGATCCGTACAATAGCACTAATCTGGACCAAGACCTATTTGCTTCTGTCTATGTGAGCCTAACTATCTAGCAATAATCAACGAATTTCTCTCACTCAGCACTGAAATGAATACTCCTTGTAACACCCTTTCGTATGTCTATGTCTCCTTACCTCCATTGCACGACTCAAGCAACTTTCTTTGGCGTGTCAAGTTTACGTGCCCACTTATGATGCGCTGCAAAGCAATTTTAATTTTTTTTCTACAATGTATCAACCGTAAATTCTAGTGTCCATCGGTTTACATATTTTGTGCGCATCTTTTTCTAGAAATTTTCGATCTGCTCTCATAAAGTCCAGGCTACCATAGATCTGCTGTGATTCTGAATAATTTGAACTCCTTCTCACTCTAAATTAAGTAGAGTTTGATCGTGAATAATATATAACCTGCTTGACATATATACGGGTGACGACCTTTTATTGTTATTTTACTCTTGTATGTCTTTCGTCCCCATGCATTGGATTACTACAAGGAAATTTTTTGCTCTATCACTGCAATATTTTGTCATAACAACAATTGCATTACGGGCCAGTGCGAAATTGGAACAGCCATGTAACTTATTTACGAGAAAGTTCTCGTCCGGTTCCTCAGTGGAAAGCATATGCGATTTTGAATGGGGTCTTTTGGGGTAAGTGCACTTGCACAACCTTCCATGAAAAAAATGCCGCACTCACATTTCATCTAATGGCATTGCCCAATTGCCTGCCTCTCGCATGACTTTCAAAACGCCGATCTTGTATAAGGAATTCCTGTTATATGGGATAGCCGTAGAGTATGGCTATACTTGTAGAGTGAATGGATAACTGAGTATTTCACAAGTTTGATAATTTCTCTATCAGCCAGCCGAGTTCTTCGGGGTGTTCAAGATTCGACAGAGGCCAAGTCAAGCAATTTTCGTGCTTGGCGTGTGTTAACTCGAGATCATTGCTTTGTTTCTCCTTCAGTAATGCTTCTATCGTATTGATCCGAGCAGGCTAATTATACCTACCGTAGTAAGGAGGAAAGAATGCTTCGGCTAAGGCCTTCTATTGAGCTCTCTTCTTCTGATTAGAAATTATTGAAAAGACCGCGAATGACAGTCAGATATCTGCGTCTGTTATGAGCGAGTCTGTTTGTCATTTGCTGGATTTTTGATGTATCTTGATTGCGGGAAAGGAGTCAGACATGAAAGTAACCCAAAAAAAGTGCTTTCGGTGTAATTAGTTTTTCCATGTTACCTAAAAAGAAGACAGGGTTTTTTTAGCTGCGTGCATACTTCATTATACTCTTTTAACATCATGGAATGATGCATATAAAAATTCTTTGTACTTTTAATTTATTCAGTGCTGCTCTGCGAACTTTGAGGTGACATTCTTCTCTGAATTTCCATGTGATAATTAGGAGCCAAAGTTGCTCTTGCCACCGTTAAAACTAACTTATGCGTGTAGTTCAGCACTTCTTCGAAACTTTCCAATCTCACATCACTCTACAGCCTATTGTTTCCTTTTCTAGTTCTTTGTGATCCAAGCACTCATCGGATCACTGCTAATTATTTTCGTCTTTTTTCTACTGCTATGTCGTAAATGCATTTTTTAAGTCTTTCACTTTTTCCTGGCTATGTGTCAGGTGTTGTGACTGTTGGTCCCTATCATTGAGGTTGCACTTTAAGTGAGAAATTGATTTGACAGCTCTGCGATCAATGTGGTTGCTCAATTTTCATCATCGCTACCGTACTCTACACAGTCCATTTCAAATATTATTATCATGTTATGTATATTACGGTAGCTGTCACTCCATTTTCGCGCATAGTACAGTGATGTTCCAGTGGACTGTTTGCAAAAAAATACGTGATTTTTGTATGATACTTATTTCCGTGGTACCTCATGGTTCGCATCTGCCTCCCCCACCTCCATTAGCACGGTCATTAAAATTCCGTGCTGGAATGTTGCACATGCGCTAATGTGCAATTTTATGACCTGCGCTTTTCGCAGACTCATGTTTCGCGCTCGAAAATTTATGATGTGAGAAGCTCGCTGTTAGTGAGCTCTGCACAAAAGACGGATTTTATGTCTTTTATCCGTTTGAGCTTTTGGGAAGTTAGGATTTGTGAATAATTCTAATTACGTAAGTAATAATAACAATGTGATAAGTAACTTCTGTTTGCTTGTAAATGATTCCGAGGAACGCTATTTCTATAATGATCTTTCATTTTCAATTCTGTGCCTTTCTAAGCGATGCCGTTTGCGTTCAGTTTTCTTTTCATTATCCAACTCTCATTTTTTATGACTTCAGTTTTATTTGATCATCGTGATCGCGTATCTCAGTGCTTGCCAAACTTTGTCTCTAGTTTTGCTCCATACATCAAAAGTGACCAAAGGATGTGGGTCACACTGTTTCTGTTTTCATTACTCGGTATATGTTTTGATAGTCGGCTCGTTGATAATCCTTTTGACATTCTTTAGAACTTTTGATTATACATATGAGAGCCCTATCACTCTATAAGTAAAGAATCCGTGTTTTTGCAGCTGCTTTTGGCACCGATTCATTATTCAGAGCAAAGTCTCTGCAGTATTTGCAGGTTCTCGCTCGTTTAATTCTGGCAGTTGCTGCCAAATTCTCATTTTTTCTGAATTTGTGCGTTACCTGTTGTCATTGGCCCAGTTGAGGGCAATAAAGCACGACGCACGCGTGCCGCGTGAGTTAGGGTCTGAAATCAGGATCCACTTGCAGCTAGGATTAATATGTCCGGAGGGACATTGGAAACTGACGTCGGTTTTCTGTTGGTGGCCTTCGGGACCGCGCGACGGCCACCACCCATCCAGAGCCAGTCAGGGTCGACTGCTGGTGCCGCGCGGACTGCGCGAGAATCGATGTTTGGCCGTGGCGACCAGGCGGCAAACTTCCATACTTGTGAATTAGGGCATAGTTTAGCGGGCGGCGAGCTTCCAGAATTGCGCAAGCGCTTGAGCTCGTTACGTTGTCGGCGATCAGATTTTATCACCATTGAAGCGGAAAATGCTCTGAATGCGCCGTTTAAGATGGTGTAGATGTTCGTTTGCAAAGTTGGGTTCGGGCAGCTGCCCATTCGGAATTAAGAATGTTTTTTGAACTTCTTGAACCTGGGCAGTCGGCCCAAAAGTAAAGCGTTTGAAGTCGCTCTATCTGTGACTTTCCTATCGTAAAAGCAGAACGCTTTTTCTAACAGAATATAGCGTTGCTTGGTAGAGTTGGATCGAATGCTCTGTAGTAGAGTTAGACCGAAAAAAAGAACCCGAGAAGTATGTCGTTTTTTAGTTTCATAAACATTATGTACAGGATGTCCCAAAAATGTATCGTTTGATTTTTCTTGTTTGAAAGGCTTTCGCGGTCCTACAAGCACCAGATGTACAATATGGAGCAAAACTCGATCACTGTTCAGTGTTCATTTGCTGTAGGACAGGTGGAAATCTTGAAAAGGCTTTTAGACAAGCTTATCTGTCTCTTTTATCGGATGCGAACCAAACATTTTAAAAACTTTCATACCAGGCTAATCAGAGCTGCTGACACTGAACATGATTCTAGCACTTCAACGCAATGCTTTAATTATGTCAAGTATACCGTAATGATTTTTTTCTCCTTAAAAGAGTAATTACACCATTTAGAAATTTTGCAAACTCGTAAAAAGTAGAATAATGAAAGTTCAGACTCTGGAACACAACCGGTCGGATTTTTTTGAAATGGTTCTGCCTAATTAAACGGCTATTACGGAGTTGTAAATTGATGTTCCTACAATGCAGTGACGAAGTGCGGTTTGTGATTCGCTCCAGACTATCATCTGAGTTGAGCCATTCTACAATCTGGTGTTTTAAGAACTGCAAACTTTCTTATGCAAGAGAATTGCCAAACATCATACATTCAATAAATTTTTTGGGGCGCCCTGTATTCTTGAGCAATATGGTATTCCTAGAAGCCAGTCTGTGAGAATATATATGTAGCACATTCCAAATCCTTCATTATTGTAAGAAATCTCTTCAGCAATCAAATTTTCAACACTAGTTCGTACTGATTTGCTTGGATCCAGTCTGACAATATTCTTGCTTCACTCATCGGAATTTGTGCGTCTATAGCCTCATAACTCAGCAATAACATACAAAGCACCAATTCAATAGCTGGAAGTATAGAGTTTTTACAACATACTTGATGACCCTCTATTTGTGCGATTGCACATTCTTATAGGAATATGCATTGAAATCCTGCTCTCAATATATGGGAATGGCAGTTACATTGTGTTAATGCATTTCATGTGAATTCTGATAAGTTTAAGAAACTGAAGCTTGAACGATTGGTTCCGGCGATTTCTGCAAAGCTTACAAAATGGACATTCGATTTTGGTACTGTCTGATAGGAATGTATTAGTTGATCATAAGTCTTTCACCAAAAAAAAAAACTTAGAATTTACCTAAAATATTCAAAGCAACGTTTCATGTTATATTTTACGTTTTCAAAACCTACAACAAGTGCTGTATGTATTTATGTTTACAAGAAATTTTATTCGAAACACAATTAAGATGTCGAGCCGAAAAAGCCGAAACAACTAACAGTTAAGAACATCCGATCATTATAAATTTCTCGCAGTCACAAACAAGCCGTAAAACCATAATTAGAGACAAAAGAATTTCTTGGACCATTTGGCATTTTTACAGATAAAGATTTACAAATCGCGATCTGATTGTTTTTCTAAACCAGATTGTATCACCATATGATACGCCAACATTCTTGCTCTAGGCGCTAATGAAAAACGCATGATTTTTTTGCTTTCTAAGCTGTATTGGAAACTTGTTGCAAGAACAATTAATTACGATTTCTCAGAAATTCTGGTGCAGAGCTCATGGACCAATCCAATACTTGTGTGATGAATCAGAGATTAATGCTGTATTTGTGGAGATTTACCAGCGAAAATCAGCCAATTCTTTTAGCCTTCGCATTTTTAAATCATATGCTTTCTATATGTGCTAATATTCACAAGCATTCTTGATAAGTGGCGCAGAACGTAGACATTATCTTTTCGCATTGGCGGACGCTAGTTTTTATCTGCAGTCATAGCCGGTCGAGCAGAGCCAACTCTTGACTGTGTTCAGTCTAAAGCAGCGACTTCAGCCCATCACGCCGTATGTCTTCTAAACCGCCGCTTTGCCATCTCCAGTACATTGCACTTCGACTGCCAAGCACGCAAGCCTTTCAAAGCTCGATGCCATATTTAAGCGGCTATTGTTTGCCAGCTTGTCGCAGTGCCTTTGTAACGTGCTAAATTGCCATGAGCAAATTCGGGTGACATCGATTTTTGATGGAATGCAGTGGCTTTTACGGCTTATTTCAGACAAGACACATCAGAATTAAATAGCCTCTGCTACTGGTCACGTTGTCAGAGCAAATCCAATCTAAATGGGAAAATGTCGTATTGACGTTCAGTTTTTCTTTCAACACTTGGGGCGTGCTTGAATGAAATGGCTTATGAGCTGAAGTATGCTTGCACAGTCTTCATGCTTTGAAGAAAAAAGCCAGCCACTCAGGTAATGCCCATGGAATGCTGGGAATACTGTGCACTTCAAACATGGATGACGAGACTATCCACAAAATGTTTTGTCAAGCCATTGAAATGCCGCTGTACTATTGCTGTATTGTTATACTGTGTGGTAATTTTCTTCTGTAGATAGGGTATTCAACAGTCAGCACAATTTTTCGAAACAAGATGCCACATGTATGATAGACCCACAATCCATGTACTGCAATAATTTAATAGCTAGGAATTTTGCAATGCACACTGATCTCATCCGGAAAATGACCATTTTTACTTCGAATTTTGCATAGATGATAAGCCTCCATATGCCACTGTTCTGGAATGCAAAATTATCGTTTTGAAAGTAACATGCGATGTATATTCTTCCTGCTGTCTACAGGCCCTGTCAGTGTGTTCCTGCTAACGTTAAACTTTGAGGTAAACACTGAATTTTTAGGTTACCGCTCTCAGAAGCAGATTTGCTGTCATAGGATCTGTCACAGCAAATAATAGCACACATGATTCTACGGTTGGCTTAGTTTTTTCTTGAACACATAGTGGCACAAACAAAGGCCTTATGAAGAAATGTTGCATTGTTTTGGCTTGTTGATTGATGATTACTTGAAAACTGAAGCTTTTCAAGAGAAACTTGAGTCCTCCACTTCCGGATGTTTTGTAACCATAAAAAGTGAAGCGCAACACACGGCTGGCGCAGCAGTTGCTGCCATCATTATTTGATTTGCTAACTTTAGTAGTGAAGGAGGGCTACGGCTGAGATATCTATATGCTATTATCGTACCGACAGCAGTTTACTTCGCTTGTGTCTATTTTTGGAGAAAATTCTTCTTTAAGCTATCTGGCTCCCTTCATGGCTTTCATGCTCGCAAACTGTTTCTCGCTTTTGGCCTATCACCTAAACTTGCTCCTGACTGTGAGTTCCAATAGCTGGCCCTTTCTGTAGAGGCCCTAAATATCCAAGGATGGGGCTTTTCTTTTTGTGCCAGTCTAGTGCATCACATTCTTGCCGTTCACAAGCTGCTTTCTCCATACTCTCTTGCTACATCCGCTCATAAAACTAAGGACTATGGGCTGCTCGAAGGAGCTGAGTACATGGCAGCATATGACGAGGAGAAGCACGCAGATGGTTGCTTTTGCGTGGACTTTGCAATTTAAGCGCTTTGAGTTGTTTTAACGGACGATAACGTTGTCAGTACTGATGAGATCTTTCGGTAGATCCTCTTAATCCAAATAATAGCTCATTAGCTAAACTCCAAAACTCCCAATGTCGAGATAATATAATGATGAGTCTTTTCTAACTTTGGATACTGAGAGTATTTTTCGAATAACTGTGATCCTTGGTAAGCAATAAGTGTTAATCTTTGGAGAGCCGGCATTCTGTAATTATCGTGGTTAAGATTTCTCCGATTAATGCGTGGGTTTGACGCGGAAGACGTAGAAGTGATCCGTAAGGCTGTTGAGTCGGGCGGAGTGGACGCAAAGGTTTGCAATTTACATTATTGGGGTAGCTTCAGTTAGTCACATTTATTTTGATATTACTGTTCTGATAAAAACCATTGGTGTTTATCTTGTATTTTTCTCAAGAAGCCTTTTTTTTTGAATTTTGTACCACGATACTTCTAGGCGTGTGCTCCTGGTCCACCAATGGATGAGCGCCCTGATGAAGACCAACCGGAGGAGGATTCCGGTTTGATTCCACAGATTGATCGACCAATGAGTATGCCATACTTATGTTGCAAATTGTGGCGATGGAAAGATTTGCAGGTAAGATTTTTTTTATTTAATACCTTTTTTGACCATCTTTGTTGGGTCTATTCATTGAATAAACCATCCTTTAGAGATGTTTCCAGTTCTTCACTCATATTTACATTCTAAACCATTTACAAATTAGTGCTGTCTTTTCATAGCATGCTTTCCATCGGGCTTTCCAGAAAAGCGTCTCCTTTTATGTTCATCATAGAGCCAGTTCATATGTAATGCAAAGGAAAGGGCTTAATGCAACGCTCAGACAAACGTAGCAGCTGTCATTGCAGGTGTCAGAGTTATTCCATTTAGTGCAGATAACAGTGTGTCGAGACTGTGTTTTCAAAAGCGCTTAGTTGGAGGGACATGGTGCTTGAAGTCTGAGTGTGCATGCTAGGCTGAAGGGGTCTTGTGGGGTGATGTACAGTACGAGTCAACCATTTGTTGATCAGATTGTAAACCGTACGCACTTGAAATTACTCACGCGTCGCAAACTATTTCATTTGGGAGGATCGATGTCCTCGAATATGCCATCATGTCTCTTTTTTGGCAACATTTTCATCTGTGCTCATTTGCGAAGTTATCTAGAAAGCGACTTTGGGTCTTCCAGGAAAAGCAGCATTTCCATCAGCATTAGCTTCGAACCCAGTACTCATTCCGTTTATTCTTCTCAAGACTAGAACTGGGAACTTTTGCTGCCTGCTGTAATGTCCATACGAGATCCTTTCACTTGAGAATTTTATAAAATGACAAGATAAGTAGTTATGTCAAGAACCAATTGCTTACTCATACTTGGGAAAAAATATGTTCTTTCAACTTCTTTGGTCACACATGTTAGTGGTAGTGGCGGTGCGAATCTCTTGAGGGGGGGGGGGAGGGGGAGGGAGAAAGGGGAGGGAGGGAACGAGAGATCTTTTTGCATGAGGGGCTAGCATCAGGCATATTTCGAGGAACTTTTTGCCATGCTTCTCAGTTTTGCGGAACTATAACCCTGATGTACTCAAAATCTTTTTGCGAAACTGACTTCACTTCTCAAAAATAAATGTACAAATTGTTACACTTCAATTTTGATTACATATAAAAAAATCAGTTGCACAATGTCATAACTCATGCAGGGTTCCCAGGAATTTTGATAAATTGCAGAATGCAGCATTTTTCAAGAATCTTGCGACCCAGTTCATCATGTTCCTTTTTGTTGCATCTTCGTGAAATCTGCTAGAAACAGAAGTCTCTATCCCCTGAGTGAGCTGCATGTATCGCTTGTCTCTTTCGAATGTGCCTATATGTTCGCTTCCAAAGTCCAGCAATCATTCTGTTGCCGTACTATTTGTCATCATTCTCCATTTCCTCGATGTTGTTCCTATCAGAATGTTGTTTTTGGTGTCAGCTGTCCGTCGAATGTCATACTGCATACCGAGATGATTTTCAAACGTCGGGTACAGCACGACATCAGCATCTGGCAGCTGATTGATCATAGCGACATCTGGTTTGTGATCATGGCTTGAGGTGCAATTTTGAGGGATTTTTTGGCACTTACGTTTCGTGTAACTGCTTTTTCAGGGTTCTATGCCATATTTAGATTTTCTCCTTGTTTGTGCATGTGTGACGTATGTGCATGGTTATTTAAGGATTAAAGGCTCAATTCTGGAGATTTATAACTTGCTTCCAAGGTCTTGAATTACGAGACCGATCGCGTGGCGCATTTAAGTGACAAGACAAGCTAAGTGGAGTCTTGGCATGAAATTATTGCGAGGGTGGAATGGCGTGTGGGTGGTGGAACTGAGGCCGAGATATCGGGGACCAGTTCCAGTCCTAGTCTAGGTGGGGATGTGAGAGAAGTTTGAAGGAAATAAACTTAATGAATTCACTGTGCTAGAAAAGAATGTAAAGGAGACAATTTCTAGTTGCAAATGATGGCAGGTTTTACGTAGAAAGTGTGAGGTATCTCTAAAATCTGTTCCGAACTCAATATTTCTAATTTTGCTTACTTTTATCTGGTTTTTAATCAAAGAAATAGTCCTAATTTCAGGTGGATGCTGCTTTGCATCGTCTGGAAGCGCTGCCATGGTGTCGATTCGGACGGGTGACAATCAACAATGCGACCGTATCGTGTTGTAATCCATATCACTATGCATTGTGGATACGACCGGAGACGAGTTGTAGTGATGATGATTCATTACGGGACAATAGTCAACGAGAAGTGCCAATGGGCAACGGACATATCGCCTATAGTAGGAGTCATGCTGGTGAGTGGGCTTGTTGTAGAACATCCCTTGTTTCGGGCTGGTAAAGCCACGCTTTGCTTGAAATTCACTTTTCCAACATTTTGCTTTGCTTCAGCTCTTCATCAATACTCCAAATTTTCATTTCAGTAACGCCGGACATCGATCTAACCTTACATCTTCCACGAGCTCTGGCGGCTGACATACCGACGAATCGGCCACCGTCGCTGCCGTCGGCTACCCCGCCTGAACCGGATGGTTCACCTCCAGGCACCTCGACATCATCGCCCGAACACATCATAGTGCATAACCATGCCGCTGGTAAGATCAATGGCCAATGTAAAACCCATTCGGGTACTGACCCAACTCCAGCTCTACGCGCCTTGCATCTAATCAGGCTTCTTCATGGCGGAAACACTGCGTTTTGTAGACGAATCAGCGCGAGTCGCGCTTCCGGGACGTCCTTTGTAAATCAGTGCTTGTCGCGCTACGACAGGGTCTTCCTTGCGGATTCTAGAGCAATAACATCGCGTTTGGCGACCCGTGATTGAGCTCCATTGTCGTCAAAGCATTGATTTCTGCTCGTCGAGCACCCTCTCGCTTTTTACTTCTGTCCCTCAACGACTCCACATACGCATATATACGCCCCCTCATATCTCCACACAAATGAGTGAAATTCAATTTTTTCATTCCGAACTGGACGCCGGAACGCGACAACTTCGAAGTTCACTTGGCAGTGCTGACAATGGGGGGGCATCAAATCAGTTGGTAATCCTGGAAGTGAGGGATGGTTGTGTAACTGACAGCCGAACGCAGCTAATGTTGTGAGAGGAATAGTGTAGCATTATAGCTGAAGAGTTTCATTTTTTGCTAATTTTTTCGAGCTAGCAACTGCCAAGATTCCAGTCTATGTGATGAGCTTGATAAATGCGAAGCAAAATTTTTTTATGAAAGGGTTCTCGATTGGTCTACTAGTGGATGAGTGTTACATATTCCGAGGATCAATCATTTCATACGTATCTTTTCCCAAGATTTGTTCGAAATGCTCCACTTTCTCTAGCTTTCCAAAAGCTAAAGAAGTTATCAGAAGTGTGAGAAAAAGTGTGGGTGAGGGTGTTCGATTACCCACGCTGTGACATGATGAGTGATTGATTTTTTTACTTGCTAGTCGGCTGCATTGTGGTTGAATTTCTTTTTGCGCTTCGCGAATCTTTGACGCGATCGGATTTCACAGGGCATGGCATTCGCCCGCGCTGCCATTTCGAATAATGTCTTGCCATTTCAAAATTTCTCACACGTCTAAGGGATTTCCCGAGCGTTTTCCAGCGCTTTTATTGTGATATAATCATTGCCGGAAAAGCTGGGTTTGCCCACTTGATCTTTCGGAGTTCATTCTGCTTATAATTCTAGTATCCTTCGTTCATTCCCAAGTAACAGAGGATGGACGTTGGCTAGTTGCCAGCATTCCCGTCTGCTGACCAGTGCAAAGTCGATTTTGCACGCGAGTTTGTTTATACATAGATGCGTGCCGCCTTAGTCGTGTCGTAGTGGAAACGGCCAATCATGCTAGTTGAGATTCCGAGATGGGGGTTCATTTTGAGCTTCATATTGACATGGGGTAGAACAGGCAGCAATGATGTGTAATAGCGCGGAAGACCAAAATTTTGTGAGAAAATCATCAACTGTGCATTGTTAGCCATTACCGACTTCCGTCTTATTTCAGCATGGGGCCGTATGACGAGGTGGGAACGAAAAGAACGAGTGGGTGAACCAGTCCAACTCACTGGGGCATTTGCTGCTGTAGGAATCCTGTCTCAGTCGGGTTAGTGCCTTTGGTTTCCTATGTGGGCGATCAACGTTAACAGACTGTTTTTCTTTAGTTCACGATGCCCAGCCTGTGTGCAGCGATTGGGACCTGAGAAATGAAGTGTCATTCGCATTGATACGACAAACCGAGCCTATAGGATCTGATGCTCCTGAGGATGTTTGGTTGTACAATAGGTAATTGTATTCTTGCTGCACTGCAGTATTCTTCAGACCTCAGAGAAATATCCAAAGCCATCTGTCCATTTTTAGTGGAACACGGCCGCTGTTTCTTTGCATGGCCGCATCTTCCACAAAACCGGACACAATACGACGGTTATCGCCGGGTTACTGTATTCGTGTGCATAAAGGTGAAGCTACGGCTAGTGCACCGGCCAGTGAACGAGCTATGCATTTGCATCGGCGAACGAGTAGGGTGAGTATTCCATCTAGTTCCCTCCTGTAAATGCTCCAAGTTTTTTGAAAAATGGGCGTCATCTCCGTTTCAACATATAGGAACCAATTTCAGGATCCTGCATTATCCTACGGCAACTTGGTGATATCCGTTGGAAGAGGGTGGGGTCCAAACTATAGTCGAATGTTTGTGACAGATATCCCTTGTCGATATGAAGTCTCATTCACGGCCTAATCGCTCACGGGTGCTGATTCTGCATTTACGTACCCGTGCGGACCGTATACCATCAATCCGGTGTGTGGTCCTGCGGTCAGAAGTCGTTATGCTAGTTTGCGGGTATTATCATTTGCGTGCATGGCACTTTCCAAATCATTTGCGATGTAAATCACTCCGTCGTCGATGACGTCACACTAGGCTATTTCACTCAAATTTCTAGGATCTGTGAACTAGTGCGAGCTTAGCATGTCGTTTTTTCTTGACAACAAATTGATGTTTGTATCGAATTATTAGAATTATCATTGTTCTTCACCTGGTGATAACATACTCTTCGCTTGGCTTTTTACCAATTTTTGATCAGCAATTGGTATAATCAGTGTGGCAGCTTAAGTTAGCAAACTAAATGTTGCGCTGTGTTCGTACTATCAATCTCTGATCGATAATTGGCAAAATATCTCATCTCATTCCATGAATTAGCATTATCGTCACATAGTTATATGGAGTTCTTCGGATTTGTAGTTCGAATCCCAATTTTGTACACTCATCACTTGAATCAGTGTACTAGAATTGATATCATCGACATTTTCCTGCTCGCAATACGCCGTCTAGTGTGCGCGTCGTATAATTATGCTGCAGCCGTCTTTCAAATGTTATTTCAAATGTTTCTCTTCATCAATTTTGTCGCATAATTCGCAACTTTTCCATAACACATAGCGAATTTCATGTTGGTTTTCATACGACTTTATCGCTTCGATGCTCCGGTTTTGTGTTCCACCTGCCATATGTTTTGTTTAAACTTTTTCAAAGTGTTTATTGATGAATATGAATGTTGTGAAATTAGTTGCTTCTTACATTTTATACTAGTTTGTAAGTTTATCCGCTTGCAGCCTTCTTTCATTGCATTCATAACGATACGAAGATATTGCAGAAAATATACAGGCGAGTCATATACGGAAGCTGGTCGGTTACTTCTGACTGAAATAGTTCCTATCTTGAAGAGACACCAGGCTGTAAGATGGATGAAAGAGCGTTAGATGAGGGAAACTCCCGACAGCGTCCGCAATGGCGTCATATCTCTGCGTGATACGACTCGCTTTTTTGAGAAGCATAGTAGATGCCGTAATTATAGTCTCAATGTTATATTCTAGTTTTGATTACGAAGAAGTTTGTTGTCGTAACATATGCAGGGCGTCCCAAAATTTGCATACCATATAGTAGACAACGCTCTTATATCCACGTTTTTTTTCGTTGGAACCTCACCTACCACTTTCTAAAGCAGTTGCATCATAGAATCAGCCTCTTTAATATTTTACAACAGTTGGAACTTTCAGCACAAAGGTGGTTTCATTGCATATTAGTTGTTAAGATTTATTCTAGAAAGCCAAAGTTTCCTGTGAAGTTTCCATAGCTAATTTCATCGAGTTACCTTTTGAAGAGTTGCAGATTTTTGATGACAATCGAAGCCCTCTTCATGGTGTATATAGTATGAATATTGAATTCAAGATTACAGTTAAGTGCAATCTTTATATCTGGAACCAGCGACCATAATTTATTTAGTAGCAGGTCTCAAGCTCTTCCGGAGTTCATTTTGAAGCGAAATCTGCCTGTCACTGGAACCACTGCTGTAATTTTTTGCCTCAATCTCACAGTGATGTAAAGCGTGCGGTGTTTTTATTTTTTGGTAAATCAGTTAATAAAAGCTTCAAGACAAAAGATTTATCAACTTTTGGACAGTGTGCTCATTGCTCTAAAACACTCTGTGTCTGTGTCCAGAAGTGTGCAGAATGCGATCCTTTAAAAATTGAAATTAATGCCAAAAAAACACGCAGAAATTTCACGTAGCCGATTGACACTGGACAGTAGTTGCGCTGATATTAAATCAAACAGGCCTATCTACCAGGCATGAGAAAATGGATCCGTAAAGGATATGCCAAACTGAACACTTGAATGATAAAGGATACGCCATACTAAATACACATCGAAGGTGGATGAACTGAGACTACTGCTGATCTGTGAATGCAAAAACACGAATGTGAAAAAACATGTCATTTCCGAGAAAATATGCTTATAGAAATGTTGATAGCCATCAATATCGCTTAACTCATTGTTATTTGGGCTTCCTTCACTTTACTGATATTGCGATATACGACAAATCATCACTTGACCTGCACCAAATGATCACATCGATATCGTTAGGCATCACGAGAGGATCGATTGCATGGAGATTATTGGAAGTTCAACGATTGATCGTGTGTTTCTTGTATTGTTTTTCAAATTTATTACGCCATTATCTTCGTTCTAAGTGTTCTCGTCTTCTGCCTATTATTATTCTGTACAGCTAATTGTTTTTAATTGATGATTCATAGAGTTGATTTTATTTCCATAGATAAACTCATGAGGTTTTTTTGCATAAATCTTTAGCCATAAATCCGAATAAGGAATGTCGAAACAAGAAAATATGATAATAAACAGGGTTGAGCAAGAGGTCAGGCACAAGTCCTTCAAAAACGAGCCCCTCCCCCTGCGAAAGCCCTAAACGACCCCTCCGCTTTACTTTCACGTCCTTAGGGTATTATCCTTTGAAGAAAACCAGCTTTCAGTGCCGGTTTTCATTTCTTAGTCTGTAGGCCCGGTTTTCTGCGATTGCACAACTACACGCAACTTGACGGCAAGTTTTGGATCTCGATAGTCCTCTTTTCAGAGCTATAATTTTCGCAGGGATGGCTTGTTTGACTCCAAATTTTTAATATAGCAAGAAGGGGCTTTGCGCTCATTACTTATACTAAAAAAGGGGCGATTTTTGATAGTTGAGGGCAAGTTGATGTTGTCAGGCGCAACCCCTCAAAAGCTCAGACGGTCTGACCTTTTGAGGGGTTGCGCCTGACCCCATTAACTTTATTTCCGAAAAAGCTTTTCTACCCAAGTTTTATGTGTTACGCTAGCTCAACCCTCGAAGATTCAACAGTAGGTGCTTGAGCTTGAGTCGACTTGTTTTGGCCTTGTGCTAATCCGAGGAGTTGAAGCACTCAATGTGGAAAACGTGCCGGTTGGAATTTTGGCAGCACTCCTTACTTCACTGTTTGAAAGCGATATGAAGCCTGATTTGTAGTATAGACTGATAGGGAACATTAATTTGTTGTGAGTATAGAAAAGCTTACATTTTTAGCTTTTGAAACCAGGTTATTCATGTTTGAAAATCACGTTCTTTGGACGTTGAGAAATAGTAGAAGAGGCAGAGGCAATGACTAGTGGAGCGCATAGAGGTAATTTGACATGCTGATTACGGAAAGATCCAGCATTTCACGTAGCAAGCTTCCTTGTCGACCTCATGATCTGTCAAGGTAAAATATGAAGATTAAGTTTTGGCTAACTTCGATTGTGGAAACAATCAGTATGCTGTTAACTACCATATTACTATCAATCCTTTAGGTGATTGCAATATCCACCGGACTAGCGCATTTCTTCTTCACATTCATAGTGTCTTCCCAACTGAACAAATCTGATTCTTAATTACGGCCCCCTCCCTCAGTCTTACCCTCAATACGACCCCCCAGATCGGGTGCGCCTGATCCCATGCTCAACCCTGGTAATAAATCTTTCCTTTTCACTATTTGATGGAACTCATAATTGCCGCACTTTTGCGACACTAGATTCAAGTTCATTATAAACTGAGCATTTACGTCAAAGTTGAAGAACAAACCGCGGTATGCACACTGCCACTGAAGTAATGCTATAGGTAATAATGGATGTGAATATTGTTAGAGCATTATATAATGAATGTGGTCATTGTAATCAGTACTTTAGATTACTCATCTTACTACCAGCAAGTTTCAATTACAATGAATTTCAATGACTTTGTGTCATATTTTGGAGGACCATGATCAAGCAGTGTAAGACAAAGTAATGCAAATCTGCTCTCGGATCCGAAACTCATGCTCAAGGGCCGAGCATGCAGTACAAATTCGACGCCAGCAGCAGCACTCTTGGTGAAGATAGTGATTTTTTTCCTGTTTCAGATGAGGTCTAAGCTACCACAGAGCAAAGCAACTCGACGAATTTGTTACACAGAGTATTCCAAAAAATGTGCCTACTGTTTGATTGTAAATGACTCTCTTTTAACGAAGTGTTTCGAGATGCTTTAGGTACCGTTTTGTAGAGCGAGGTTGAACTTAGATTTGCAGTATGGAGCGGATCACCTACCGCTTTCCATTTGTAGGATTACGGTAAGAGCTTCCAGCATATGGAACCGTTGTGAAGTATACCACCTAACAAAATTTTTTTTCAAAAAATCTGAAAAATCGTGTACTAGGGTTTTCGCGCATGCCGATTCCACCTGACAACTTTTTACGAGTGTTTTCAGTTTTTTTGAATTACATTTCTGACAAATGCTGGGAATTGAGCTACTACAATTTACCGAGGATAACTTAGGAAAGAAGCATCACAACAAAATGGGCATTTCGAATTCGAGATCAGCGGCTCCCATTACCGTAGTATAAGAGTTTTTGGCTTGTTTGGTTTCGTCGAGGCAGAGTATAGCCTTCAAAATCCTAAAATCCTTGTCAAAGTTCCTACCGTAATCCTACAGTGATGAAGAGCGATAGATGATTCGCTCCATACTGCAAATCTAAGTTTAAGCTCGCCCTACAAAATGGTGCTCAAGTGGTACTTAAGGTTTTTCGAAACAATTCCTTACAAGAGAGTTATTTACAATCAAACAGTAGGCACATTCTTTTGGGACATCCTGTATTTTGATTTCAAAATATGCTCTGCCATGCTCAAATAACGACTAGCCTTAGAGGAAGTGTCTCGGCAGAATTTCGTTTTCCAGTTTTCACCTTTTCAGAAACTCTTCACCATAAGGAACCCATATCTAGGCTTTTCAGCTCATGAAAATGGCAAAAGTTAGCTTTTTCCGAGGATTTTTAGGTCCGCATTTACTGGAGAATACCGTAAGTGGGCGGGACCCCGAATGAAGGAGGAGGGGCGCGGATCCGGATCTTTCTGAATGCGGACATGTAAAGCTTCGAAAAAACTCTTTTTTGCGTTTTCATGCACTGAAAAGCTGGGATATGGACTCCTCATGGCGAGAAGGCTCCGAAGAGCTGAAGAACTGAAAATCAAAACCCTCACGACATGCCTTAACACAACGACGACAAGGCCGATTTTTCGATTACTGCCATTTCGGACAGGAGCCTTTTTTGCTTCGTCAAAATTACGACCCACCCGTGGGTCGTATTGTCTGAGATGGTAGTCTTTTTGGGAAAAGTTCAAAACACGTTCCCGAAAATTCTTCCAGAGGGGTAATCGAAGGCGCTGATTATTGAAAAACAATTTATTCCAGTTTTTCGCGTCACACGGTAAGGTTACGGTAGTCGTCCTGTACGAAACCAACACCATGGATTTCCATGAAAAATTCTGTTTTGGAGTTGTTTCACGTGCTGATTACGTTTATGGTGTTTACTTTGTTCACTACTGTCCCATAGTAGTGAACAAAGTGGGGTTACGGTAGCAGTAGTAGAATTTTCGCAGTAATCAATAAACTGATGTAAGAAGGTGGTATCAAAAATTGAGACTATCATTTTCGTAATCAGCATGCTACAAAACCTACATATGCAAAGTTCTAGCTTCCTAGGAAGAAAAATGCAAAAAAATCAATAAAATCAATAAAATCGATTTTGGGGGGGGGGGGCTAACGTCAGCCTCTTGCCCGCCTCGTATTACTCTTACATGTAAACTGGAGTCTCCAGGAACAGCATCATTTTGCGAAAATTTGAGCTAAAAGTCTGTGCTTTATATCTATCTACTGTATACCTACCGTAATATTGCATTACAGTATCCCGAGCTCGGACCACTCTGGCTGGAGCCTCTCCTAGGTGCCCCCAATATGTGCCAAAACCCCGTAAAATTCCATTTTAAACTGGCAAAGATAGCGCTTCATGAATCTTACGACCCACCGGTGGGTCGTACTGTCCGAAATAGCGGGACACGTACGACCCACCGGTGGGTCGTATTGTCGTCCACAATGTATGACAATGACTAACTTGTACACCTTAGTGAATCTCATGGCTTCCAAAATCAAAGCAAAAAACTGGTTTTAACTTAAACCTACGATATAGTAGAACAAATCACAAATCACTCTTCAACATTGTAATAGCTGTCAACTCAAAAATCTTCAAAACCCCTCGACTGTTGTATTGGGGTGTTTAAAACCAGCTGATTTGAACCAAAAGTTAGCATATTCATGTAAAGCGGTTTGAATGGTGTAACCAGATTTTGACATTTACTGGAAACAAGATCTAGTTTCCAGCCCACGAGAGCTAAAGCTAGGGACTCTCTTGATATTCTTATCACAACCTTACAGTAGTAATTTATAATCACTTTGTACAGTCCTGCTAAGAAAGCCAGTTCTTCATTATGGTGCTTTTGAGAGTAGGACAATACAAAAGAGTTATTTATCAAAGGGTGCGCATATTTTTTCGGATTCCGCTCTCCGTGCGAAAAACAAAATTTGAAAGAAACCCACTCATCTTGGCGTTTGCCATAGCCCGATAGTAAGTGTTGAAGATAGCCGGAAAGGGCAGTTCGTCTTGATACAAAAGGAAGTTTGAGGCAAGGAACATAAGAGAATTAGCAGAACGTCGGCCCCTTTTAATTTTTGCTATTCTGTTCCACAAAATTTCTGAATTACTCATTATTTGATACATATATACATGTATATGTACATCAAAGGCAATCGCAATAACTTTGTTGCCAATTTTCAAATCGCTCATGTACCGTAGCTTATTGTGTTGATCTTCTCCCTTGCGAACCTTTCTCACTTATCCTCATCAAAGATGCTTTCTTTCCCGAGACCACATGCTACTGTCTTACTTAGATTTTTTTAGATGTGTGATCGGACCTTTTCACAGATCGAGAAGAGGAAATGCATATTGTGCTTATCGTGAACGAATCTGGCCCAAAGCACAGGTTGGTACATATCTCTCTTTAAGTAGTGATTTTCCCTCTTAACAATGAATATGAAAATAAAAAGTCCCCATCAATTGTTGGCGGTACATGCCCTTCCATCTAACATAAGTCACAGATCTCGTCTAACATTGTTTTAGAACCATTTCCTTACATCTTGAATTCCACTTTTGCCATCTCTTATCTAGTACCTTCCTTGCTTTCTTTTGCGTGGGTTCTTCATTGCCACAATCACCTCTTACAAAACAGTCATCGACAACTGCTTGGTAACCAGTTTTGCGCTCATCGAACGTCTCCTACTCAGTATGTTTATAACCTTCACATTTTTACGATATGTCAAATCAATGAACTTCTTTGGCGACAGAGTAGTCGAGAGTGAGACAGTCAGTAGTTGGCGCGGTGTAATTCAACAGCAATGCTAATTGTATCTATGTTGTAGAATGCCAGATTGTAGCGTCTGTTTTGTCACTCTGCCCTAATGTTTGCGTTTCTCATTATTAGTAAAATCTTTGTGCAAAACATTTACTTAAGTGATAGTGGATGGAGAGTAAAGGACGAGAGAGGAAAAGAAACAACAATCTTTCCCTTGCGGCCAATTCCTCAAATTTTTTGCAAATTATACAGGATTTTATGTAGGCCAGACAGATGCTATTATATGTATACCTACTGATCAGTAGCGTACTAAGGTTGGGGGCGCGGGGGGGCAAATGGGTCGCGAAATTTTTGAAAGTCACTTACATGAGTTATAAAAACGTGCGAGACTTGTTCATACTTGAAAATAATCAGAATAATTTTAAAAACTCAATCTAGCGTTATGAAAAACATTTTGGGTGTGGCCGCCACGCCGGCTTTTCCTGGAATTTCGGGGTTAGGGGCCCGCAAAAATTTTGTCAAGCATACCAAAAATTTTTCGGGCTGCACGCACCTTCATCACAGAATTTTTTTCTTCCCCCCCCCTCCTGAACGGAAATGCTGGGTACGCCACTGTTATTGTCGCAAGGTTAACCAACGAGTTGTGATGTAGATAGTGCGTAGTAGCATATCCTACAGTTGAGGTTCTGTTCGGCTATCGACGAAAGGCGAAAAAATCTTCATGTCCCCCCGCCTCGCCCTACCCCATCGCCCCACTCACTCCTGGGACAAGTTTGCTCATTCTTCGAGAAATGGTCCTGTCGTAGCCACCTGACCCATAGGCACCTTTCGTGCCCATAGAGCAAAACCAATCTACTAATTTTTTACTAATATTGTAGTCGGCCCTTATAAGATAGTAGAGGGCACGTGGTATCTTGATGATAGCAATATACACATGATTAGGGGAGATAGTGAAGTGACAGGATCTAGAGTGTTTGATGCAGTCCTCCTTTGGGTTAGGAACTAGTAGAACAGCAAACGACTCCCTGCTGCTCCCGGGTCTGACTGCTTTTTCATTAGTACTTTTCGAGGGCTGCAAAAGTTGAGCGACAGAAGTATACTCATAGATGAATAGAGTTAAACAAAATATTTGAATGAGCCGAAATGTACAGAGATCGCATCCAAATAAAAATCTGGCTATAAGTCCTGTGAGAATACTAGCAAACCCATGCTTGAAGGATTATAAGAGTGGGTCACGAACAGTTCGAAAACCATCACTTCATACGAAAGCTCTAAAGTCTTTATATCGTTATCTTCAAGAATATTCAGAGAGAATGAATGCCGCAGTAAAGCGTTTAGAATTCGTGTCGTTTTTTGCAAGAAGGACGCATTCAGAAAGTTCATGACTTATTTCATGAATTGCTTTCACTTTATATATCTAATCATACAAGGAGCTACCAGAAAATCCTCATGTTTCAAATTTTTATAGCTAGAATTTGTTCAAGAAACATTGAAAATGGTATAGTCTAATGCAGAGCATTCCAATTTTGTATTTTTCATTGAACAAATTCGGAAAACCCTTTCTCTAGTCTCATGACTCAGCTCTTACTACGCTTGTTCCAAAAATTTTAAAGTTATGTATAGTGCCATTTAAATGAATTATAGATTTTCCTGATGACATCGCTACCCAAACTTCTCTTGATTTTTGATTAGACCCCTATCATCTTTCAACACCTTTTCAGACGTTTTGCATTAGTGCTACACATTTTCGTTGAAAGAACTATGTTATATTTATAACACTTGCAGTGTCGGACTATGTATGACTCAACTTTTCGATGCAAAACTCAAGGGATTGCATTCTGAGCGTCTCTCCTGTAAAAAGTGCCATTAACATTACAACTAAAGGAAATTAAAGTGTCATTACCACTTTCGAAAAAAATAACTATTGAATTTGTCTGAGCAACGTCAGTTTTGTGGATGTGATCATTTGACAAAACTCCACCAATGATGTTGTAATGAGAGTTATTTCTTACCAGTTCTCAGTGCGTACTGCGCGATTTCGGTTTTTATGGAGCGATCTGTAAATGATTTGTAACCCTCACGTAAATGAGAAACTTGCTACTAGATTGGCTAATAAATTTCAGTCGCCTTTGCGGCTCCTACAAATACTGCAGACAAATTTTTGTCCATTGTTCGGTATCTTTTGAAAGAGTAATCAAAAGAGAACTGGAATTAGGGCTCGGCACAGGTGAATCATAAACAATCTGGATACCGGTTTTTTTGGGTTCAAAAGCAAAGGGGATCTCTTTTTTTTGCGATCTGAAAAAAGCGCAAGTAAGGTTATGCTTTGTAGTCGACGTTCCACTTTTGGGTCAAAGGGGATTTCGTAAAGTTTTGCGAAAGTCAGAAGAGAATCGTTTCTTGCATTTTCTCAAAGCAACCTTGTGCTGAGCCCTGATTAAAATGTGACTTCTGTTTGAGTAGTAATAACCTTAACTACGAAGAAAAGGTGCGAAGAAGCAAAGTATCCTTTGATTCAACTGGCTTGGCGGTTGGAAGGCGGGGCTTCGTGACCTAATTGAGGCTAGGTAATGATCAGAGAGCAGGCGCGGGAGAGATGCAGACTGCGTCGCGGGCGCGAGCAGCCTTAATTAGGTCACCAGCTCCGCCTTCCAGCCGCCAAGCTTGTTGAATCAAAGGTTCTCAATATTCTCAATGAGCGCAAATGTCAGAAAAAATCCAGTTTTTCTAATTGAAACTTTCAAGATGGCAGATGTTATTATCGTTATTCACTATTAGAGAAAACTTGTGTGTATCCAAATATTAAATTACTCGTCTCTACATCCATCAAAGTCTAAAAGCGAGGCCAAAGAACTGCGTATTTGCAAAGTTAACCATATTGGGGTACAACTATCCTTTACTGATACTATAAAATTCTTAATAGTTTATATGTGATAGTAGAGGCTTGATCTACTTTCCCCAAAATATTATAGATAAAAATAACAAGAAGAATTTTCGTGGAGATTTGCCGAAACGATATCCAACCCAAATAATTGTAGACCAAATGGCTGGTTGAGAAAAGAGAGTGATGTACCCCGAGCACGCCACGAAAGCTTTGCCTAACTCTACTTTTGGTTCATGGGATTACTGAAAGTGCTGGGAACAGGACAAGTTTACCAGTTGCAAAAAACGCTGTATTGTGAAGCAAATAATTTTTTATCTCAATATTATCCTTGATTCGTTCATTTAGTGACCTCCTCGATGGCTTTCTTGCAAGACACTACTTTATGCTTACCGTACCAACTATAGTCATTGCATCCAAATCTTTCCGAGATATCGTGAAACTCCCACTCTTCAGAAATGCGGAGCTGGCTTCGTTCCGTATGATACGCACTAATCAAATCTGTTTTTATCGATTCGTAACGGAAGTAAATCATTCCAAATGCGCATCGTCTCGATTAGTTCAAGACGAGAGCGCTTCGAACGGGTATAGCTGAGGATTTCGGACTGTCATATATGAAAGTTTGCCTTTGGCTGATATTACATATTCCAAGGTAATTTCCGATGTTCCGGACCTCTTCTGTTTAGAAATACACGAAAAGCAATGTACGCTAGGTTTATTTTGGAACTTCAAAGCTTCGAAGGCTGCTTGCCTATTCTGTTCCCTATGTCCAATCCTTAAATGTTTTATTGCGCTTCAATTTGGAAAGTTTATCCAATTCGAAATCTTAAGCCTACTGGGATAGGGTTAAAGTGATTTCCAATTTAACTGGTTGACAGCGAAGGCTTTTTGGTCGAAGTGGTTTTTTTTTGAACAGAATGTAAATAAGTGAAGAGCGTTGAACGCTGATTCCGAATCTGTGTTTGGTATTTGCTAAGCGCCTCCGGACGCTGAGTTATGATTGTTTTTTTTTTGAAGTTAAAAAGCTGGTTGTTTCGATCCCTTTAGTGCTCAATCAGTGCGGGTATGCTGAGTGTACTATTGCGCAAAAGTATTACTGTATAAACTGCTGACACTCAGCACCAGGCAATTTGAGCTACTCCAGTAATTTTGAACCAATTATTCCCTCAATTCCAGAAAACGCTCAAAACGCTCATCGCTAATTCGGCGTCCAGAAGAGCTTGGCAGATACCGATAACAGATTTGGAATTAACGTTCGATGTTCCTCAGAACAGTATAGATCTGATTCGAAAAGGCCACTTTGACCAAAAAAGACTCGTGTGAGTGATTTCAAAGTATAGAGTGTTCCTCAGCATGTCTTATTCATAGGACTACCCCTCCATAAGCTTCTACGTCTCAGACTTTTGGGAGCTTAGAGTGACTATGATTCTTGAGAGTGACTGATCACTCAATCACTGTAAATACTAAATCACGTCTCCCATCACGCCAACACTTCTGCGAATCCTCTATTTGCTATCTGCTTTGCTTGCTTTTTCCTATTTTGGTAAAGCGATCAAAAATACTATATGAATTCGGCTGCAATGTCAGTTAATGCTTGATGGCTTTGATGCCGAATAGCTTAGTGATGATTTGATGCACTGAGTCGAGCACTCTTTCTCTACTTTGATTAGAGACAGACATTGGCTGAACCGGTTCCATCTGTTCTCGCTCGCTTTTCGCATTGCTTTTTTTCTGTTCACTCGACGTTCAG